TATGTGAGAAACAATTTATAGCTTTCAGTACTTTTTGCCAAAATTTTATCTTTACACTCACACTCTCGCAATTAAAAACAAAAATGGCCAATATACAGCAGATAAGAGTCCACGTTCTAGTATATAAAAAGTGTTGGATTTAACAAAATCAGTTTATTTATACTTCAAACATAGTTTTGTTAACAAGTTGTTTATTTAATTTTGCCGAAAATGGAAGTGACTACGGCATTACTTTACTTCATCATAGCCGTAGTTTCAGTGGCTTTATATTTTGTCAAACGAAATCTAAACTACTGGAAAGATCAGGGAATACCACATGAAGAACCACATTTATTAATGGGCAATTTTAGAGGTCTGCGCACCAAATATCAAGTGGGTGAGATAATAGGAAATTATTATAAAAAATTTAAGGGTACTGGACCCTTTGCGGGTATCCACATAGTACAACGTCCCGGAGTGGTGTTGTTGGATAAGGCCCTTATTAAAAATGTTCTTATAAAGGATTTTAATAACTTTGTTAATCGCGGCATGTATTACAATGAGAAAAATGATCCCTTAACCGGTAATCTATTCTTTATGGATGGTCAGTTGTGGAGAGTTTTAAGAAACAAATTGTCACCCACTTTTACATCGGGTAAAATGAAGTACATGTATCCTACTGTTCTAAGTGTGGCCGAGAAATTTATACAAGTTCTGAAAGCGAAAGTAAATGAGGACCCTATAGTGGATGTACGTGACATGCTGGGACGCTTTACCACCGATGTGATTAGTAGTGTTGCTTTTGGTATTGAGGTGAACAGTTTGAGAAATCCCAATTCTGAATTTCCTCGATTAGGCCGTAAATTGATAGAACAGCCTCGCCACAATGCTCTGATCATGGCTTTTATTGATGGCTTCCCTAATTTATCGCGTAAGTTGGGCATGCGCATAGTGCCCGAAGATGTGCATCAATTTTCATGAAAACTATAACCGACACTATTGCCTATAGAGAAAAACATAAAATAGAAAGAAATGACTTCTTAAAACTATTGTTGGATATTAAAAACAATGAAGAATTGTCGGGTTTAACTATAGAAGAAATGTGTGCTCAGGTGTTTGTTTTCTTTTTGGGAGGCTTCGAGACATCCTCTTCTACCATGTCATTTGCCTTATTCGAGTTGGCTTTAAATCCCCATTTGCAGGAACGTTTAAGAGAAGAAGTAAATGAGGCATATGAAAATCATAAAGGTTTTAACTATGAATGTCTTAAGAATATGACCTATTTGGATCAAGTATTATCAGGTAATTACTAATAAAAGTACAAACATTAAAAACCGATGTTTTAATAACTTCTATTAATATAGAAACTTTACGTAAATATCCCATTGTGGCTCAACTTAACCGCCAGGCTGCTCAGGATTATGTCGTGCCCGGTCATCCTGAGTATGTGATTAAAAAAGGCATGCCCGTTTTGATACCAGTTTTGGGCATCCAACATGATCCTGAATTTTATCCCAATCCTCAAGAGTTTGACCCAGAACGTTTTGCTCCCGAAGTGGCGAAACAGCGTGATCCTATTGAATATTTACCGTTTGGTGATGGTCCACGCAACTGTATTGGCGAACGTTTTGGCAAAATGCAATCCCGTTTAGGTTTAGCCAATTTGATTAGAAACTTCCGTTTCTCCACCTGTTCTAAGACTGAAATACCCATTAAGTTAGATCCTAAGGCTGCCACCTATTCACCTAAGAATACTATTTATTTGAAAGTGGAAGCTATTTAAGATTTTGTTTAATAAATTTTAAAATAATTATGTTAAAAAAACTTATTTGTTTATTTATTAATTAGTGAGTGTTAAAAATGTTTTAAAACCCATTTCTAGTTCAGTTCTAGTTCAGTTCTAGTTCAGTTCTAGTTCAGTTCTAGTTCAGTTCTAGTTCAGTTCTAGTTCAGTTCTAGTTCAGTTCTAGTTCAGTTCTAGTTCAGTTCTAGTTCAATTCTAGTTCTGCTCTAGTTCAGTTCTAGTTCAGTTCTAGTTCAGTTCTAGTTCAGTTCTAGTTTTAGTTCAATTCTAGTTCAGTTCTAGTTCAGTTCTAGTTCAGTTCTAGTTCAGTTCTAGTTCAGTTCTAGTTCAGTTCTAGTTCAGTTCTAGTTCAGTTCTAGTTCAGTTCTAGTTCAGTTCTAGTTCATTCTAGTTCAGTTCTAGTTCAGTTCTAGTTCAGTTCTAGTTCAGTTCTAGTTCAGTTCTAGTTCAGTTCTAGTTCATTCTAGTTCAGTTCTAGTTCAGTTCTAGTTCAGTTCTAGTTCAGTTCTAGTTCAGTTCTAGTTCAGTTCTAGTTCAGTTCTAGTTCAGTTCTAGTTCAGTTCTAGTTTTCAGTTCTAGTTCAGTTCTAGTTCAGTTCTAGTTCAGTTCTAGTTCAGTTCTAGTTCAGTTTTAGTTCAGTTCTAGTTCAGTTCTAGTTCAGTTCTAGTTCAGTTCTAGTTCAGTTCAGTTCAGTTCTAGTTCAGTTCTAGTTCAGTTATAGTTCAGTTATAGTTCAGTTCTAGTTCAGTTCTAGTTCAGTTCTAGTTCAGTTCTAGTTCAGTTCTAGTTCAGTTCTAGTTCAGTTCTAGTTCAGTTCTAGTTCAGTTCTAGTTCAGTTCTAGTTCAGTTCTAGTTCAGTTCTAGTTCAGTTCTAGTTCAGTTCTAGTTCAGTTCTAGTTCAGTTCTAGTTCAGTTCTAGTTCAGTTCTAGTTCAGTTCTAGTTCAGTTCTAGTTCAGTTCTAGTTCAGTTCTAGTTCAGTTCTAGTTCAGTTCTAGTTCAGTTCTAGTTCAGTTCTAGTTCAGTTCTAGTTCAGTTCTAGTTCAGTTCTAGTTCAGTTCAAGTTCAGTTCTAGTTCAGTTCAAGTTCAGTTCTAGTTCAGTTCTAGTTCAGTTCTAGTTCAGTTCTAGTTCAAGTTCAGTTCTAGTTCAAGTTGAGTTCTAGTTCAGTTCTAGTTCGGTTCTAGTTCAGTTCTAGTTCAGTTCTAGTTCAGTTCTAGTTCAGTTCTAGTTCAGTTCAAGTTCAGTTCTAGTTCAGTTCTAGTTCAGTTCTAGTTCAGTTCTAGTTCAGTTCTATTTCAGTTCTATTTCAGTTCTAGTTCAGTTCTAGTTCGGTTCTAGTTCAGTTCTAGTTCAGTTCTAGTTCAGTTCTAGTTCAGTTCTAGTTCAGTTCTAGTTCAGTCTAGTTCAGTTCTAGTTCAGTTCTAGTTCAGTTCTAGTTCAGTTTTCTAGTTCAGTTCTAGTTCAGTTCTAGTTCAGTTCTAGTTCAGTTCTAGTTCAGTTCTAGTTCAGTTCTAGTTCAGTTCTAGTTCAGTTCTAGTTCAGTTCTAGTTCAGTTCTAGTTCAGTTCTAGTTCAGTTCTAGTTCAGTTCTAGTTCAGTTCTAGTTCAGTTCTAGTTCAGTTCTAGTTCAGTTCTAGTTCAGTTCTAGTTCAGTTCTAGTTCAGTTCTAGTTCAGTTCTAGTTCAGTTCTAGTTCAGTTCTAGTTCAGTTCTAGTTCAGTTCTAGTTCAGTTCTAGTTCAGTTCTAGTTCAGTTCTAGTTCAGTTCTAGTTCAGTTCTAGTTCAGTTCTAGTTCAGTTCTAGTTCAGTTCAGTTCAGTTCTAGTTCAGTTCTAGTTCAGTTCTAGTTCAGTTCTAGTTCAGTTCTAGTTCAGTTCTAGTTCAGTTCTAGTTCAGTTCTAGTTCAGTTCTAGTTCAGTTCTAGTTCAGTTCTAGTTCAGTTCTAGTTCAGTTCTAGTTCAGTTCTAGTTCAGTTCTAGTTCAGTTCTAGTTCAGTTCTAGTTCAGTTCTAGTTCAGTTCTAGTTCAGTTCTAGTTCAGTTCTAGTTCAGTTCTAGTTCAGTTCTAGTTCAGTTCTAGTTCAGTTCTAGTTCAGTTCTAGTTCAGTTCTAGTTCAGTAGTTCAGTTCTAGTTCAGTTCTAGTTCAGTTCTAGTTCAGTTCTAGTTCAGTTCTAGTTCAGTTCTAGTTCAGTTCTGGTTTAGTTCTAGTTCTGTTCTAGTTCAGTTCAGTTCTAGTTCTAGTTCAGTTCTAGTTTAGTTCTAGTTCAGTTCTAGTTCTGTTCTAGTTCTGTTCTAGTTCTGTTCTAGTTCTGTTCTAGTTCTGTTCTAGTTCTGTTCTAGTTCAGTTCTAATTCTCGATAAATTTAAAATTTCAACACAATATCGTATTTAAAATGTAATTGGAGTTAATCAATATAACAGTGAAATTTTTTATTCATATTTATTTCGTCCAGAAGTCAGATAATGTTCAATGTCCCAGCAACTTAGTAATTGGTACCATTCTTATCAAATTTCCCACGAGTTTTTTTTAGAAACAACAAATGTCTTATGAAATGTCAACATTAGGTTACTAAACTACCTTGTTTATACTAGAAACATTGTTATTGTAGTTCTTTAAAGTTTTGGCACAATTTGTTTAGAAAATGATTTGGCAATTTCAGTGATAAGAAAGTGCCGGTATTAGACACAACAATATGACAAGAATACTTAATAAATAATTAAAAACTTGTCATTGCAAATATAGAAAATTAAATATATTTTTGTATTAATGTGGTATAAGTAAGTAGTATGTTTAGTTAGTTTTTATGTTTGTTACACACGAAATTTTGCTCAACTGTTGAAATTTTCCCAAAAAAAAAAATCATATTATTGCTTGTTGTAGGTGAATTGTCGTATTTTAATCGAAATATTAAATTTTAATTGAAATATCGAATTTTCATTTTATATTTTTGGTGAAATATTATATATTTGATGAAATATGGCTAAATATCTATAGTGAAAACTTTTAACACCAAATAAACAAATTTCTCACACAATTTGAATCGCCTAACGTAGAGTGCAAGTTGTCTAATCATTAAAACTGAAAATGACATCCAGATAATTATCAATACAGTTGAATACTCAAGAACACTTTTACACAAATACAAACAAAAACAGAATGCAATTTGTGCTACAAGCTATAAAAACTCGGACTATTGGTCATGCTTCAGTCATTTCGGAAAAGTTGATTTTTAAATAAAGATCCACTATGGCAGTAATAACAACGTACTTACTTTACCTTATAATTGTCGTAGTTTCCGTGGCATTATATTTTATTAAACGCAACCTTAATTATTGGAAAGATCTGGGTATACCTCACGAAGAACCGCATTTGTTATGGGGCAATTTAAAGGGTTTACGTACTAAATACCATATTAGTGAAATAGCAGCAAATTATTATAGAAAATTTAAGGGCAGCGGTCCATTTGCGGGTTTACTTTTTATGCAACGTCCAGGTGTGGTGCTATTGGATAAAACTCTTATCAAAAATGTGCTCATTAAAGATTTCAATAATTTCACCGATCGTGGTTTATACTATAATGAGAAAACGGATCCTTTGTCGGGACATTTATTTTTAATAGATGGCCAAAAGTGGAAAATTTTAAGAAATAAACTATCACCCACATTTACTTCGGGCAAAATGAAATATATGTATCCTACTTTGTTAAAAGTGACCGATCAACTTATTAGTGTTATGAAAGAGAAAGTAAACCAGGATCCTATGGTTAATATGCACGATATGCTGGGACGTTATACCACTGACATTATAAGTAGCTGTGCTTTTGGCATTGAGTGCAATAGTTTGGGTAATCCTAATTCAGAATTTCCCCGCATGGGTAAAAAGTCCATAAAAGAACAGAGACACAATACTATTGTCATGGCCTTGATAGAAAATTTCCCTCGTTTGGCACGTAAACTGGGCATGCGCATATTCCCCGAAGATGTTCATCAATTCTTTATGAGAACTGTAAAGGATACTATAGCCTATAGAAAAGAACATAAAATACAAAGAAATGATTTCTTAAATATTTTACTTGAAATGAAAAATAATGAAAATGATAAATCGGCTCTAGGTGGTTTAAGTATTGAAGAAATCTGTGCCCAAGTATTTGTGTTCTTTCTGGGTGGATTTGAAACCTCATCTTCAACTATGACATATGCTTTACATGAATTGGCTCAACAGCACGAATTGCAAGAACGTTTAAGACAAGAGGTTAATGAGGTATTTGAAAATAGTTCGGATGGTAAAATAACATATGAAGATCTAAAAAATATGAGCTATTTACATCAAGTGATATCAGGTAAATAAGAATGTTTGGATTATTTAAAGTCATTGGGAAATATTGTAAAAAAAATGCTTTCATTTTCAGAGACTCTGCGCAAACATCCCGTTGTAGCCCAGCTGCATAGACAGCCTCTTAATGATTATGTAGTCCCTGGCTTTCCCCAGTATGTGATTAAAAAAGGCATGCCTATTTTAATACCCGTACTGGGTTTACAACATGACCCTGAGCTATTTCCCCAACCAGAAGTATTCGATCCTGAACGTTTTATACCCGAAATGATCAAACAACGTGATTCGGTGGACTACATGCCGTTTGGTGATGGCCCTCGCAATTGTATTGGTGAACGTTTTGGTCAAATGCAAACACGTTTAGGTTTAGCATATCTAATAAGAAATTTCCAATTCTCCACATGTCCCCAGACTGAAATACCCCTAGTTATTGATCCCAAAGCCATGGCATATGTACCGAAAAATAATGTTTATCTGAAATTAGAGGAAATAAGTTGCTAATAAGTTATATACATAGGTATATCATTATATGTAGACTTTTATAATAAATATTAAATTAAAAAATATTCTAAATGCAACTTAATTTAGGTGCAGTTAAACCGAAAGTTATCAATAGATTTTAAATTCATTTAAAATTTTATAAACAAATAACAGAAATACATAGAGAATATTAATGCAGTTTGAAATTGTTTTTAGTATTCAAATTTATTTCAATTAAGTTTGGAGCAAAATGACTATATTACTGCTTGTATTAAGAGAGAGAGAGAGAGAGTGAGAGGGAGAGTAAATGTATAGGACAAGTAAACAAATGATAATTGAATTAAAAATTATAATAGAGAATACCCTACATAATTGTTAACATTAAATAAATTCATAGTATTTGGTGAAATACTGAACAGTTTTTTAAAATATCATATAATTGATGAACTTTTGTATTTAAGGGAAATATCGAATTTATAGTGAAATATGGTATATTCTATGATATATTGTATTTTTAGTGAATTTTAGTATTTTTGGTAAAATATCGCATTTTATGTGATATGTCGTATTTTTGGTAAAATGTTATATTTTGGTGAAATTTTGAATTTTTGGCGAAATTTTAAATTTTTTGTACATTTTCACATTTTTAATTTTTGGTGAAATATTGAATTTTTGGTGAAGTTTTGAAATTTTAAGTGAAATATCATTTTAATTTTAGGTGATTTGCTGAAATATCTTATTTTAGATGAAAGAATATTTGGTGAAATATTGTATTTTTAGTGAATTTATCACATTTTTGGTGATATATAGTATTTTATGTAAAATATCATATTTTAGGTGAAATGTAGAATTTTTTTGTGAAATTTTTAGTTTTTTTTTTGTGAAATTTTGTATTTTTGGTCAAATATTTTATTATTGGTGAAATTTTAAGTGAAATATTATATATTTTATTTTAGGTGAATTAACTTATATTTGCTGAAATATCTTATTTTAGTTGAAAGAATATTTGGTGAAATATTGTATTTTTAGTAAATTATCACATTTTTGGTGAAATGTAGTATTATAAGTAAAATATCGTATTTTTTGGTGAAATATTGATTTTTTTGTGAAATTTTTTATTTTTGGTGAAATTTTTAGTTTTTTGGGAAATTTTGAAATTTTAAGTGAAATATTATTTTTTTTAGTTTAGGTGAATTAACGTCCATTTGCTGAAATATCTTATTTTAAGTGAAAGAATATTTTGTGAAATATTGTATTTTTAGTGAATTGTCACTAAATATTTTAATTAAAATATCGTATTTAAGGTGAAATGTTGAATTTTTTGTGAAATTTTTAATTTTTGGTGAAATTTTTTGAAATTTTATATAAAAAATTATATTTTTTAGTTTTAGTGAATTAACTTATATTTCTTGGAATATCTTATTTTAGGTGAAAGAATATTCGGTTAAGTATTGTTTTTTTTAGTGAATTATCACATTTTTGGTGAAATATAGTATTTTTAGTGAAATATCGTATTTTAGGATATATGTAGAATTCTTGGTGAAATATTCCATTTCAATGAAATATTTGGTGACTTATCGAATATTTGCTGAAATATCTTACTTTAGGTGAAGGTTTAATTTTTGGTGAAAAATTGTATTTTAGGTGAAATGTAGAATTTTTGGTGAAATATTGTATTTTTGGTGAAATATTGTATTTTTGGTAAAATATAATATTTTTGATTGAATATCATATTTTTGATAAAATAAGTATTTTATTTAAAATATTGGAATTTTTGTGAAATATCGCATTTTTAGTGAAATATCATATTTTTGGTGAAATATAGTATTTTGGTGAAATATCGTAAATTTTCTAAAAAAAATAACTCCTACAACCTCTTTAACTGTTGTTTGTTATCCATGTTCATTCATGGCGATTTATATAATATCGTAAATTTAAAATGAGTTCCTGAAAGTACCGTAATATAATGACTTAGTCCACTAAGAATCGATTCTTCCAAAAATGATTACCATGATTTTACTCATTCATTACATTTATGCTAATTTATAATACCTGTATGTATGTATCGTTAATAATATATGGATCAGGGTGTTTATCGGAAGGGTGCCAATTATGGGTCAATTATAGATCGAACTATATATAATTTTGTATATAATTTAATTTATTTTATCCTCCTAGCTACTCTAGTTTAGATTCTATATAGTTTTTAAAAGCACGGTTGAATATAGCTAGATCTTCTCAGAAGCTAACAAGAGTCCAGTACAACTTTTATGGATGTACGAACGATACTATGATATTTTACAAACGGAATGATAAATTAAATATACCTCCATCGCATTAGATAGTTAGCAAACACAACTATAGTTTCTACCTATCTCTCTCTCTCTCTCTCTCTCTTATCACAGAGCACAAAATTCACAATCATTACTAGACCCATACAATTAAGTTTACAAATTTCTTATCATATAATATATACACAATCTCAGACTGATACTGACAACTAGTTAGTGTTCAGTCATTAAGCAGACGTTCATTATATTAAATTAAAAACCATGGAAGTAACATCACTATTGCTGTATCTCATAATCGTCTTAGTTTCGGTGGCATTATATTTTATTAAACGTAATCTAAATTATTGGAAAGATCGGGGTATACCACATGAAGAACCTCACCTTATATGGGGAAATTTAAAGGGTTTGCGCACCCAGTATCATATTGGAGAAATAGCAGCAAATTATTATAGAAAATTTAAGGGCAGCGGTCCCTTTGCGGGTTTACTTTTTGTACAACGTCCAGGAGTAGTGCTACTGGATAAAGCTCTTATCAAAAATGTGCTTATTAAAGATTTCAATAATTTCACCGATCGTGGTATGTACTATAATGAGAAATCAGATCCCTTGACAGGCCATTTATTTTTGGTGGATGGCCAAAAGTGGAAAATTTTAAGAAATAAACTGTCACCCACTTTTACTTCGGGCAAAATGAAATTTATGTATCCTACTTTACTAAAAGTGACCGATCAATTTATTAGTGTAATGAAAGAAAAAGTAAAGGAGGATGCTATTGTCAATATACAAGATATGTTGGGACGTTATACCACCGACATTATAAGTAGCTGTGCTTTTGGAATTGAATGTAATAGTTTGGTTAATCCTAATTCGGAATTTCCTACAATGGGCAAAAAAGCTATGAGGGAACAGAGACACAATGCTGCGGTCATGGCCTTGATTGAAAATTTCCCGCGTTTAGCGCGTAAATTGGGCATGCGCATATTCCCCGAAGATGTTCATCAATTCTTTATGAGAACTGTGAAGGATACTATAGCCTATAGAGAAGAACATAAAATACAAAGAAATGATTTCTTAAATATTTTACTTGAAATGAAAAATAATGAAAATGATAAATCTGGTTTGGGTGGCTTAAGTGTTGAAGAGATTTGTGCTCAAGTGTTTGTTTTCTTTTTGGGAGGTTATGATACTTCTTCAGCAACCATAACTTATGCTTTATACGAACTGGCTCAACAGCCCAAATTGCAGGAACATTTAAGACAAGAGATTAATCAGGTGTTTGAAAATAGCGAAGATAACCAAATAGCATATGAAGATCTAAAGGATTTGAAATATTTACTACAAGTATTAGCGGGTAAGTTTTAATTTTCATTTAAACTATATTTAAGTCATTCATTATATTATCTATTTTAGAAACCCTGCGCAAATACCCTAGTGGTCCATTACTTTTCGCAAAGCTTTAAATGATTACATAGTTCCCGGTCATCCTAAGTATGTGATTAAAAAACACATGCCTATTTTAATACCTGTACTGGGATTGCATCATGATCCTGAATTCTACCCCAAACCTCAAGAATACGATCCTGAACGTTTTACCCCCGAACTAGCCAGACAACGTGACTCTATGGAGTATTTACCCTTTGGAGATGGTCCCCGCAATTGTATTGGTGAACGTTTTGGTCAAATGCAAACACGTTTAGGTTTAGCTTATTTAATTAGAAATTTCCATTTCTCTACTTGTTCTCAGACCGAAATACCCATTATATCTGATCCGAAATCTTTTACATATTTACCGAAAAATATAGTTTATTTAAAGGTGGAGGAAGTAATGTAAATAACACCTGCTGTTTGATGAATTATCTAATCATCAGTTGGCTAACGCTAATAGGCATTAGCCGAAACATTAATTTGCTTTTGGCGATAATTAGAATTAATTACATATGTTAATAAAGCGTTTTGAGAGAACATAAATAGTACTTTTACTCTTATCTAAAATGGCATTTTGTATCCTATACTACTAAAAATAATTATAGGGAACGATCAGTCCCACTGTCTGTTAAAATCATGGTTGTTGGTATAAGATAAAATTTTGCAAAAATTATGCGTTTCTTCTCTAAAAATTTGAATCTGGGACCAATTGCTAGCATGGAAAAGCGATCGAAATTTCCAAGAAAATTTCTAAAATTCTAGAAATTTAGTTAGTTAGTTAGTTAGTTAGTTAGTTAGTTAGGTAGTTAGTTAGTTTTAGTTAGTTAGTTAGTTAGTTAGTTTGTTTGTTAGTTAGTTAGTTAGTTAGTTAGTTAGTTAGTTAGTTAGTTAGTTCGTTTCGTTCGTTCGTTTCGTTCGTTCGTTCGTTCGTTCGTTCGTTCGTTCGTTCGTTCGTTCGTTCGTTCGTTCGTTCGTTCGTTCGTTCGTTTTCGTTCGTTCGTTCGTTCGTTCGTTCGTTCGTTTTCTTTCGTTCGTTCGTTCGTTCGTTCGTTCGTTCGTTCTTCGTTCGTTCGTTCGTTCGTTCGTTCGTTCGTTTCGTTCGTTTCGTTCGTTCGTTCGTTCTTCGTTCGTTCGTTCGTTCGTTCGTTCGTTCGTTCGTTCGTTCGTTCGTTCGTTAGTTCGTTCGTTCGTTCGTTCGTTTCGTTCGTTCGTTCGTTTCGTTCGTTCGTTCGTTCGTTCGTTCGTTCGTTCTTTCGTTCGTTCGTTCTTAGTCGTTCGTTCGTTCTTCGTTCGTTCGTTCGTCGTTCGTTCGTTCGTTCGTTTCGTTCGTTCGTTCGTTCGTTCGTTCGTTTCGTTCGTTCGTTCGTTCGTTCGTTCGTTCGTTCGTTCGTTGTTCGTTAGTTCGTATTCGTTAGTTTCTTCGTTCTTAGTTCGTTCGTTCGTTCGTTCGTTCGTTCGTTCGGTCGTTCGTTCGTTCGTTCGTTCGTTGCCCGGTTAGTTCGTTCGTTCGTTCGTTTCGTTGTTCGTTCGTTCGTTGCTCGTTACGTTCATTCGTTCGTTCGTTCGTTTCGTTAGTGCGTTCTTCGTTCGTTCCGTTCGTATCGTTCGTTCGTTAGTTCGTTACGTTCGTTTCGTTTCGTTCGTTGTTACGTAGTTCGTTCTACGTTCGTTCGCGTTCGGTCGTTCGTTAGTTCGTTCGTTCGTTAGTTAGTTCTTCGTTCGTTCGTTCGTTCGGTTCGTTCGTTCGTTCGTTAGTTCGTCGTTTCGTTACGTTTCGTTCGTGCGTTCGTTCGTTCGTTCGTTCGTTCGTTCGTGGTTCGTTCGTTCGTTCTTCGGTTCGTTCGGTCGTTCGTCGTTCTCGTTCGTTCGTTCGTTCTTCGTTCGTTCGTTCGTTCGTTCGTTCGTTCGTTCGTTCGTTCGTTCGTTCGTTCGTTCGTTCTTCGTTCGTTCGTTCGTTCGTTTCGTTCGTTCGTTCGTTCGTTTGTTCGTTCGTTCGTTCGTTCGTTCGTTCGTTCGTTCGTTCGTTCGTTCGTTCGTTCGTTCTTTTTCGTTTCGTTCGTTCGTTCGTTCGTTCGTTCGTTCGTTCGTTCGTTCGTTCGTTCGTTCGTTCGTTCGTTTCGTTCGTTCGTTCGTTCGTTCGTTCGTTCGTTCGTTCGTTTTCGTTCGTTCGTTCTTCGTTCGTTCGTTCGTTCGTTCTCGTTCGTTCGTTCGTTCGTTCGTTCGTTCGTTCGTTCGTTCGTTCGTTCGTTTCGTTCGTTCGTTCGTTCGTTGTTCGTTCGTTCGTTCGTTTTCGTTCGTTCGTTCGTTCGTTCGTTCGTTCGTTCGTTCGTTCGTTCGTTGTTCGTTCGTTCGTTTCGTCGTTCGTTCGTTCGTTCGTTCGTTCGTTCGTTCGTTCGTTCGTTCGTTCTTCGTTCGTTCGTTCGTTCGTTTCGTTCGTTCGTTCGTTCGTTCGTTCGTTCGTTCGTTCGTTCGTTCGTTCGTTCTTCGTTCGTTTCGTTCGTTCGTTCGTTCGTTCGTTCGTTCGTTCGTTCGTTCTTGTTCGTTCGTTCGTTCGTTCGTTCGTTCGTTCGTTCGTTCGTTCTTCGTTCGTTCGTTCGTTCGTTTTCGTTCGTTCGTTCGTTCGTTCGTTCGTTCGTTCGTTCGTTCGTTGTTCGTTCGTTCGTTCGTTCGTTCGTTCGTTCGTTTCGTTCGTTCGTTTCGTTCGTTCGTTCGTTCGTTCGTTCGTTCGTTCGTTCGTTCGTTCGTTTTCGTTCGTTCGTTCGTTCGTTCTTTTCGTTCGTTCGTTCGTTCGTTGTTCTTCGTTCGTTTTCGTTCGTTTCGTTTCGTTCGTTCGTTTCTTCGTTCGTTCGTTCGTTCGTTCGTTCGTATCGTTCGTATCGTTCGTTCGTTCGTTCTCGTTCGTTCTGTTCGTTTCGTTCGTTTCGTTTCGTTAGTTCGTTCGATTCGTTTCGTTCGTTCAGGTTCGTTCGTTCGTTCGTTCCGTTCGTTCGTTCGGTGTTCGTTCGTGCGTTCGTCGTTCGTTCGTTATTCGTTCGTTCGTTCGTTAGTTTTGGTAGCCAACTGCCCACAACCGTTACGCTACCTCGCCGAATTTCATTGTTCATCGCTTTGAGTGATGCTCCCAACCCAGATGCACTGGAAATAGACAGAAAGAAATTCCTAATAAGTCCCAAAAATGGGATAAAAAAGGAGAGAAGAATAAATTAATTCGCTGCAACAACAGATCAATTTCTCTTGGGAAAAAGCTTTCTTGTAAGAGAGAAGATTAGTTCCTCAAAAAATAATAGCTTTTCATATGTTTTTGCATTTCTCATTATTCAGTATTAATTCTGAAGTTGATAAAAGTGTTTAAAAAAGTCAAACGACGAGCAAAAAATGTTTCTAATATTTGGTAGCTTAGTATTTTCTCTAATAAATATTTTAATATTCTCCCTATACAATCGATATACCTATTGGAAAAGGCGTGGGGTTTTATATGAGACAGCTGTACCGCCCTTTGGAAATTTCCAGGGATTAGGCAAGACCAAACATATCAGTGATATTCTTAATAAACTATATAGAAAATTTAAAGGCAAAGCTCCTTTTTGTGGAGTTTATATTTTCTATCCAGATCAGCCGTTTTACTTGATTTGGATTTAATTAAGAATGTCTTAATCAAGGACTTTGGCAGTTTTCAAGATCGTCATGCTTTTCATAATGTGGAAGAAGATCCCTTAACAGGACATTTGGTAAATTTGGAGGGAGAAGAATGGCGTGCCATGAGAGCAAAACTAACACCGGTATTTACTTCAGCTAAAATGAAGTATATGTTTTCCACGATGTTGGCAGTGAGTAGGAATTTTTCCGAGACTTTAAGAACAGAGTTAGCCAACAGCTTAGATCAGGTATTAGAAATAAAAGATCTTTGTGCCAGATTTACTACAGTTTTTACTATCGTTTGGCTAATAATATCAAACGTAATGATTTCATAGATTTATTAATAGAATTAAAAAGTAAAACTGATCAATTAGAACACAAAGCTCACGGAATAGATTTGTCACAAGGTTTGACCATCGAGCAAATGGCAGCCCAAAACTTTGTATTTTTCCTAGGAGGTTTTGAAACATCTTCGACTACCATATCATTTTGTCTTTACGAATTGGCCAAACATATGGAAATACAAGAAAAATTAAGACAAGAAATATAGCAGACGATTAAGGAAAGCAACAATGTTATTACGTATGAAGGGGTAAATTCCATGTTATATTTGGAACAAGTTATAGCAGGTAATTATTGCCCAACTATTAAAATTTAAAATGTTATTAAATGTATATATGTTTCTTTAGAAACTCTGCGTCTATATCCCGTTTTAAGCAATTTGGTGCGCTATACCAATACTGACTACCGAATACCCAATACAGACTTAGTGCTAGAAAAAGGCACCGGTATAGTTATACCCATCTCTGGCATACACACGGATCCGGAATATTATGATGAACCTATGAAATTTAATCCCAATCGTTTTTTGCCAGAAGAAATAGAAAAACGTCACAAAGCTGCCTATTTGCCCTTCGGTATTGGTCCACGCAATTGTATTGGTGCTCGTTTTGCTAAAATGCAAACTAAATTGGGTTTAATTTTCCTTCTTCGCCACTATCGTGTTGAGTGTTGTGATCGTACCGAAATACCTATAGTATTGGATAAGAAAAACTTTATGATGGCCCCAAAAAATGGCGTATATTTGAGAATGGTTGAGGTGTAATTATTAGAAAAATTAAAATAAATATCTTTTAAACTATAATTTGTCTTTTCTTAATTATACAACTAAGATTTAAAAATACAACAGTTCTACTTCAGTTCTAGTTCAGTTCTAGTTCAGTTCTAGTTCAGTTCTAGTTCAGTTCTAGTTCAGTTCTAGTTCAGTTCTAGTTCAGTTCTAGTTCAGTTCTAGTTCAGTTCTAGTTCAGTTCTAGTTCAGTTCTAGTTCAGTTCTAGTTCAGTTCTAGTTCAGTTCTAGTTCAGTTCTAGTTCAGTTCTAGTTCAGTTCTAGTTCAGTTCTAGTTGTAGTTCAGTTCTAGTTGTTAGTTCAGTTCTAGTTGTAATTCAGTTTCTAGTTGTAGTCAGTTCTAGTTGTAGTAAGTTCTAGTTGTAGTTCAGTTCTAGTTGTAGTTCATTCTAGTTCAGTTCTAGTTCAGTTCTAGTTCAGTTCTAGTTCAGTTCTAGTTCAGTTCTAGTTCAGTTCTAGTTCAGTTCTAGTTCAGTTCTAGTTCAGTTCTAGTTCAGTTCTAGTTCAGTTCTAGTTCAGTTCTAGTTCAGTTCTAGTTCAGTTCTAGTTCAGTTCTAGTTCAGTTCTAGTTCAGTTCTAGTTCAGTCTAGTTCAGTTCTAGTTCAGTTCTAGTTCAGTTCTAGTTCAGTTCTAGTTCAGTTCTAGTTCAGTTCTAGTTCAGTTCTAGTTCAGTTCTAGTTCAGTTCTAGTTCAGTTCTAGTTCAGTTCTAGTTCAGTTCTAGTTCAGTTCTAGTTTCAGTTCTAGTTCAGTTCTAGTTCAGTTCTAGTTCAGTTCTAGTTCAGTTCTAGTTTCAGTTCTAGTTCAGTTCTAGTTCAGTTCTAGTTCAGTTCTAGTTCAGTTCTAGTTCAGTTCTAGTTCAGTTCTAGTTCAGTTCTAGTTCAGTTCTAGTTCAGTTCTAGTTCAGTTCTAGTTCAGTTCTAGTTCAGTTCTAGTTCAGTTCTAGTTCAGTTCTAGTTCAGTTCTAGTTCAGTTCTAGTTCAGTCTAGTTCAGTTCTAGTTCAGTTCTAGTTCAGTTCTAGTTCAGTTCTAGTTCAGTTCTAGTTCAGTTCTAGTTCAGTTCTAGTAGTTCAGTTCTTAGTTCAGTTCTAGTTCATTCTAGTTCAGTTCTAGTTCAGTTCTAGTTCAGTTCTAGTTCAGTTCTAGTTCAGTTCTAGTTCTAGTTCTAGTTCAGTTCTAGTTCAGTTCTAGTTCAGTTCTAGTTCAGTTCTAGTTCAGTTCTAGTTCAGTTCTAGTTCCGTTCTAGTTCAGTTCTAGTTCAGTTCTAGTTCAGTTCTAGTTTCAGTTCTAGTTCAGTTCTAGTTCAGTTCTAGTTCAGTTCTAGTTCAGTTCTAGTTCAGTTCTAGTTCCGTTCTACTTCAGTTCTAGTTCAGTTCTAGTTCAGTTCTAGTTCCGTTCTAGTTCAGTTCTAGTTCAGTTCTAGTTCAGTTTCTAGTTCAGGTCTAGTTCAGTTCTAGTTCAGTTCTAGTTCAGTTCTAGTTCAGTTCTAGTTCAGTTCTAGTTCAGTTCTAGTTCTAGTCAGTAGTCAGTCTAGTTCAGTTCTAGTTCAGTTCTAGTTCAGTACTAGTTCAGTACTAGTCAGTACTAGTTCAGTTCAGTTCTGGTTCATTTCTAGTTCTGTTCTAGTCCTGAAATTATTCTTATTATTTGCTATCAAATGTCATCATGTATTTTACTTAAGTACCTAATTTAATCAAACAATACTTTTGTTGTGTTTATTTTCAGCAAATTTTGTATAGAAAATAATTTCACAATAATATTGATAAGTGCCGGTGAAAATATGTAAGTATGTATTTTTCTTTTTGTTGGAAATATAATAAAGTATTTATTTTATAATTAAAATTCTACAAAGAAGTAAAAGAGAATGATAATTACTGCATATTTGAAATTATTAAGAATTTAGATGAGTATATTGGTAAAATCATTCCGTTTGTAACACATCGTAAAATTTTCGTGAATTATGGTATTTTGGAAAAAAATTTTAATTTAGAGGAATTACATGGAAAATCGTATGTAAGATGAAGTATTTATATATTCATCAAATGTCGATTTTTTTATGAATATTATTTTTTCGTGAAAACTTTTTTATAAAATTATTTTGGTGAAATATCAAAATTTAGTTAAAATGGCACATTTCTGGAGAAATATGACAAATAAATTTCAAGATTTTTATCCAACAATTTGAATTTTCAACTGTAGAGAAAATTTGGTTTAATCATTAAAGTTGTTAATGTCAATTTCTTATCAATGCAACCGAAAATCCATAAAGAAGAATATTAGACAAATATGTATATGTATGTAAATAAGAAAAGAATGCATATAGATTCTTCTATAAGCTATAAAAACTCAGACAAGCAATTGTTTACTGTTCAGTGATTAAACAAACGTTGATTATCAAACAAAGAAACCATGGAAGCAATATCGTTGTCATTATTTTATCCCATAATAGCCGTAGTAACGGCAGCATTATATTTTATTAAACGCAACCTTAATTATTGGAAAGATCAGGGCATACCTACCGAAAAACCCCATTTCTTATGGGGCAACATAAAGGGTTTGCGCACCCATTATCATATTGGAGATATAGCGGCAAATTATTATAAAAAATTTAAGGGCAGTGGTCCGTTTGCTGGTTTACTTTTTATCCAACGTCCAGCAGTGGTGCTATTGGATAAAAATCTAATCAAAAATGTTCTCATTAAAGATTTCAATAATTTCATCGATCGTGGTTTGTACTATAACGAGAAAACGGATCCTTTGTCAGGACATTTATTTTTAATAGATAGCCAAAAGTGGAAAATATTAAGAAATAAATTGTCACCCACTTTTACCTCCGGAAAAATGAAATTGATGTATCCCACTTTGTTAAAAGTAACCGATCAATTTATAAGTGTTATGAAGGACAAGGTAAAAGAAGATCCTATTGTGGATATACACGATATGTTAAATCGTTTCACCATCGATATTATAAGCAGCTGTGCTTTTGGCATTGAGTGCAATAGCTTGGGTAATTCCAATTCAGAATTTCCCCGAGTGGGTAAAATAGCGATAATGGAACAGAGACATAATACCGTCATCATGGCCTTGATAGACAGTTTTTCCGCATGTGGCCCGTAAACTGGGTATGCGCATATTCCCCGAAGAAGTTCATCAATTTTTTATGACCACAGTCAGGGATACGATCACTTATAGAGAAAAACATAATATACAAAGAAATGATTTCTTGAATATTTTACTTGAAATGAAAAAGAATGAAAATGATAAAACGGGTCTTGAAGGCTTAAGTATTGAAGAAATCTGTGCCCAAGTATTTGTGTTCTTTTTGGGTGGTTTTGAGACTTCTTCATCCACCATGACTTATGCTTTATATGAATTGGCTCAACACCAGCATTTGCAAGAACGTTTAAGACAAGAGATAAATGAGGTATTTGAGAATAGCCCGGATGGTCAAATAACCTATGAAAATCTCAAAAATATGAACTATTTACATCAAGTGGTATCAGGTATGTATAAAACAGGAAAGTTTATGGTTATATAAAGTTATAGAAAATCATACTTTCTTTACAGAAACCCAACGCAAACATCCCGTTATAGCCCAGCTACATAGACAAGCTCTTAAGGATTATGTTGTCCCCGGTTTTCCCCAGTATGTGATTAAGAAAGACACTCCTATTTTAATATCAGTACTAGGCCTACATCACGATCCCGAGTTGTATCCCCAACCAGAAGAATTCGATCCTGAACGTTTTACTCCCGAAATGGTTAAACAACGTGACCCTGTCGAATATTTGCCATTTGGTGATGGTCCTCGCAATTGTATTGGTAAACGTTTTGGTCAAATGCAAACGCGTTTAGGTTTAGCTTATTTAATAAGAAATTTCCAATTCTCCATATGTTCTCAAACGGAAATGCCCATAATTATTGATCCCAAAGCCATGGCATATGTACCGAAAAATGTGATTTATTTGAAACTCGAGGAAATAAGTTCTCTATAAGAAATAATAACATGATAGTTTTGGTGAAATATTCCCTTAAATTTAATTTTCTTTTATTTAAAAAAAAATCGAAATTCTGTGTTTAAATGGTGAAAATATAGTTAATACCGACTTCAATGCTCCCTAGAATTGATTGCATTACTGTCAGTTACTGGCTGCATTATTCTCTAGAACTAAAGTCAGCATTACTTGTTGCTCTGGCTACTTGCTGAATTGCTCACTAGCATTAAAGTCAGTTACTGGAGAGATTATTTGTAACAGATGATTTTCCCAAGTATGTGAAGTCCTCTGTTCGAATAAAGTTCATTATTGACTGCATTACTAGTTACGAAGTCAGTTAGAGGGTTTCATAGTTCTCTAGAAGTAAAGAGTGAATTGCCCTCTGAAAATCAATCATTGGTCTCTAAATTAAATTACTAGCTGCATTGGTCACTCTCAAAAAATTAACCATTACTCTATAAGAAATGAATTCATTTAATGTCTTCAGTGCTTCTTGGAATTCACTTGTTTGTTCTCTAGAACTGAAGTCAGCTCTCTTGAAATTAATCATTATTTACTTAAATTTAAGTCAATTACTTACTGCATTACTAACTGCATTACTGTCATTTACTGGGTTTCTTGTCCCTGGCATTGAATGTAAAGCTCTGTAGAAATAATGTCTGCATTATTCGCTAAAACTAAAGCATTGCCCTTTATAAATGAAAATTTTTTCTCTAAAAGTGAATTTAATTAATGAATGCATTGTTCTCTCGAATTGACGTAAGCATTGCTCTCTTAAAATCAAAAATTTTTCTCTGAGAATAAATTTAATTATTAACTCTGCTCACTTTGCTTAGCTTCGCAGAAATTAGTGCAATTACTAGATGAATTGTTATCTAAAACTAAAAATTTTATTGGAAATGGAAATAGATGTTTAAATAGCTATAATAATGTTTAAATAGCTATACTAATGAGAAATCCCAGATAAGCCATTTACTTTATATGAAAAAATACTAAAGAAAAAGCTATTGAGTTATAGAGTGAACTTTGTCTTCAAATGAGATAGTGGAAAATGTGATAAAATATTTTAAACTCATTTCAAAACTCTCCGCAAAAACTTAAAAAGCGTTCTCTCAATAATTGAAACGTAATTTTATCTTATCGGAAGATCACTCTGGCTCGATAGCACAACTTTAATGGAATAGTGTAAACAAAAGTAATTCAATGTAATCGGTTTTAATTTAGTTTATCGATTTATAAGATCTATTAATCAAATATAGTCAAACTTTAAGACCCTATATATAAATATCTCGAAATCATGATGTGGTGGAGAAATTTCGACGTGGGATTCGGATTCAGCTCAGCTTTGTCTTTTATTAATTATTCTCAGAGTTAATAAATTGTTGGCCTTTGTTATTGACGCCTAAAGGTGGAGACCTATTCCAAATTGCTATAAAATCGGCTCTAGTGTTTAAGATTGAATGACTCACAAACAAATAATAACAATCATTATAATATTTATTATTTCCCCAAATTTATCGCACTTCAAACATTTTCAAATATATGCCATTTTTTGCGGAGATCAAAAAATTTTGTTTATCCATTATTATGGGTATTTCGGTACGATCACAACATTCGACACGATATTGGCGTAGTATGGAAATTAAACCTAATTTTGTTTGCATTTTACCAAAACGAGCACCAATACAATTACGGGGACCAATGCTAAAAGGTAAATAGGCAGCATTATGACGTTTTTCGATTTCCTCTGGCAAAAAACGATTAGGATCGAATTTCATGGGTTCGGAATAATATTCAGCATCTGTATGTATGGCAGAGATGGGTATTATAATGCTGGTGCCTTTTTCTATAATCAACTGCGTATTGGGTACTTGGTAATCCTTATTAGCACTGCGTACTAAATTCGGCTGAACGGGATACAAACGTAGGGTTTCTAAGATATCAAAGAAATATATATGTACATGAATATGTTTATAATGAATACCACCACTATTTACCTGCTATCACCTGTTCCAAATAAACCATAGAATTAATGCCCTCATAAGTGAGCTCCTTATTGCTGGCCTTAATGGTAGTGCAAATTTCTTGCCTTAATTTTTCTTGTATATCCCCATGTTGAGCCAATTCATAAAGACAAAATGATATGGTGGTCGAAGAAGTTTCAAAGCCTCCCAAAAAGAATACAAAAGTTTGTGCTGCCATTTGCTCAATGGTTAAACCTTGAGACAAATCTATGCGTTGAGCTTTCTTTTTCATTTGATCATTGTCATTTTTACTTTTAAGCTCTATTAACAAATCCATGAAATCATTACGTTTGATATTATTAGTCAAACGATAGTCTACAGTTTCCTTAACAATATTTATAAAGAAATTGCTAATGTCATCGGTAAAGAGTTTCATATTCAATTGACGCGCCAATTCTGGACAGCACACCATAAATATTTGCACTAGAAGATTGTGTCTGGCCTCAGTGAATATTTTACGTCCTTTAACCGAAAATTCGGCATTGGGATCTTTAAGACTATTGCACTCTATGCCAAAAGCACAAGTACCTATGACATCAATGGTAAAGCGGTTGCAAAGATCTTTTATTTCCAATACCTGGTCCTGTGTACAAGCTAACTCAGCTTTTAAAGTTTCCGTAAAATTCCTGCCCACTGCCACCATTGTGGGCAACATGTACTTCATTTTAGCAGATGTGAATACTGCTGATAGTTTTGACCTCATAGCATGCCATTCTTCGCCATCCAAATTTGCCAAATTACCCGTTAAAGGATCTTCTTCTACATTATGAAAACCATTATGATCTTGAAAATTGCCAAAGTCTTTGATTAAAACATTTTTAACCAAATCCACATCAAGTATGATAGCGGCTTTTGTTAGATACATATAAACACCACAAAAAGCAGCTTTGCCTTTGAATTTTCTGTATAGTTTATGAATCACATCATTGACATGTTTGCTCGTGCCTACACCCAGATAATTTCCAAATGGCGGTATAGGAGTCTCATATAAAACACCACGTCTTTTCCAATAGCTATAGCGATTAAATAGATAGAATATTAAAATATTTATTAGACAAAATAATATTTGACCAAATGTTGAAAACATTTCGTGCGTCTGTTTAGAATTTTAAAACACTTTTAAGAACTTTAGAATTAATATTGATAATGAATGCACACACAAAAATGGAAAGCTTTAAGTTAAGCGAGAAATTGTTTACATTAAACTTTTTATAAATGATCTTAATTGTTTAACAACAAAACAAACTATATTTATACCCTACATCACTACAGTGGGGGAGGGTATTATGCGTTTGTACTGATGTTTGTAATACCCAAAAATATTGATCCTACACTCACCTTATAGTATACCAAACGGAACAGATTCACTTACTGGATCGATTAAGCTATGTCCGTCCGTCCGTCCGTCTGTCTGTCTGTCTGTCTGTCTGTCCGTCTGTGTGTGTGTTTGTCCGTCCGCCTGTGTGTCCCTGTAAACCTTGTGAGCACGCTACAGATCGCACATTTCAAAATAATTTGATAAAATTTATTATTGAAAATAAATCACATTTAATATCCATAATTGGTGTAGGGTATCATATGGTTCCATCTATAGTTTCCTACTTGTTTAATTAAAATTTATTAAATGAGATTACCGGAGACATAGAAAGAAACAATTCTTGTTTACAAGAGAGGGATAGAGAGAAAAACTGATCTTAATTCTCTTATTAAAAGTAAATTATACTACTTTCTCTCTCTCTCTCTCTCATCAAGAAAAATGCAAATAAACGAGAGAGCTGGTAAGAGTTTGTTCTGTTTTACGAGATTAAGTGATATAGAGAGAAACTCTTCTCGTTTCTCATAACAAAAGTAAAGTGATCATGTCTTTCTCCCACATTTAATCATTTTATATACATAAAAAAATGTAAACAAACTTTTTGTATAAATAAAACAAACCACATTTCAATTCATCAACATTCGTTGTCAATGTATTTATTTGATAATTTGTAAAAAAAAAATCGCATTACTTTTCGAGCTTTATCACTTTAAGTTGTATGCCATTTTTGGCACCTATCAAGAAATTCTTTTTATCAATTTCCAAGGGTATCTCAGTTTGGGAGCAGCACTCAAAACGATAACGTTGCAATAAAGAAATAAGACCAATTTTTGTTTGCATTTTACCAAAACGCGAGCCAATACAATTACGTGGACCATCTCCAAAAGGTAAGTAAGCGCAAGGGTGGCGTTTCTCCACTTCCTGAGGCTCAAAACGTGAGGGATCGAATTTTTCTGGATTTTCATAATAATCTGCATCATAGTGTATAGCTGCTACGGGTATTGAAATGGTAGTGCCTTTTTCTATTACGTACGATGAATTTGGCACCTGGTAGTCACTAACGGCCTGACGTATCAAATTGGGTATAACAGGATATAAACGCAAGGTTTCTAAGTAAAATTTATACATTATTTTCTATACAATTAAGTACCTTTCCGATAACCTACCTTGTATTACCTGTTCCAGGTACTGCATGGCATTCATGCCCTCATAACTCAATTCTCCTTTATTTTCCTCTAAGGTCTCCAAAATTTCCTTTCTTAATTTCTCTTGTATTTCGGGATTTCTTGACAATTCATATAAACAAAATGACATGGTGGTAGAGGAAGTTTCAAATCCCGCCAAAAAGAATACAAATGTTTGGGCCGCCATTTGTTCTACCGTCAAGCCCTGCGACAAGTCAATGCCTTTGGAATCCTTGGCCATTTCATCATTTTTAGCTTTTAACTCAATAATCAAATCCATAAAATCATTACGCTTAATATTATTCTCCAAACGATAGTTAACAGTTTGACGCACTATATTCAAAAAGAAATCGGTTATGTGATCTGTAAACAGCTTCATATGCAATTTTCGTGCCAATTTAGGATTTGTTATCATAAACGTTTGCACTAAAGGTCCATGACGTGGTTCGGTAAATATTGAACGACCTTTTTTTCTAAATTCTGCTTGAGGATCTTGCAGACTATGGCATTCTATGCCAAAAGCACATGAACCTATAACATCAGTGGTAAAACGGGCACATAAATCTTTTATTTCCACCACTTGTGCGGAGGAAGCTTCAACTGCCTTGTTTAAAGCTTCTGCAAAACTTTGTCCCACTTCCACTACCGTGGGAAACATATACTTCATTCTGGCAGAGGTAAAAACTGGTGTTAATTTCGTTCTCATCGCCCGCCATTGTTCACCCTCTAAAGTCAACAAATGTCCCGTTAAGGGATCATCTTTGACATTATTGAATATGGCACGATCGTGGAAATTGGCAAAATCTTTTATCAGTATATGTTTTATTAAATCCAAATCTAAGATCAAAGCAGCTTTGGTAAGAAACAAATAATAACCACAGAATGGTGTTTGGCCTTTAAAGCGGCTATACAGACGTTGATTGATGTCTTTAAAATGCAGAGTTTTACCAATTCCCTTAAAATTGCCTATCAGGGGTAGAGGAGTCTCATAGCATACCCCACGTCTTTTCCAGTAAGTGTAGTTGTTGTATAAGTACACAGCTAGCAGGGTGACAATGCTGAGCAGTAAAGTGCTCAATAGCGATAACATTTTATTTTTATTAATGCCACTACCTCTTAATAGTGTTGAAGTTAAATTTATACTGATCCAGAAATTAGCAAACAGAGTATGTATTTAAAATTTAATGGAAGAGAGCTTTTTGTTTAAAAGAAAGCTTTTTCTTTATTTACGTTTTAGATACAAATTGTTTGTTTGTAGAAAAACAAATATTTACTTTCATTAAAATTTCAAAATTTAAATTTTAAGTGAAAAATTTAATTTTTAATGGAAATCGGAGTTTTAATGAAAAATATATATTTTTTGTGAACACTTATTTTTATGTCGATTGAAGTCTTCGGCGCATTGATTTGTAGTTGAAATTGTGAGCATGTTGTAGAGAGTTGGAAACTTAATTTAAATTTTAAAATATTTGATCATTTATTCAGTTCAGTTATAAACAAAGTTGTCCCATTATCTCCATTGCTTTGACATAGTCCCCCTCTCTTGCTCTCTCTTTTCTTGAGCCCTACATCAGGCAAGGAATACTCATCGTGGTATACCGCGACATATTCGATACTTGTTCTATAGCCTAGCCTATAGTCTAGCCTATAATCTAGTCTATAGTCTAGTCTATAGTCTAGTCTATAGTCTAGTCTATAGTCTAGTCTATAGTCTAGTCTATAGTCTAGTCTATAGTCTAGTCTATAGTCTAGTCTATAGTCTAGTCTATAGTCTAGTCTATAGTCTAGTCTATAGTCTAGTCTATAGTCTAGTCTATAGTCTAGTCTATAGTCTAGTCTATAGTCTAGTCTATAGTCTAGTCTATAGTCTAGTCTATAGTCTAGTCTATAGTCTAGTCTATAGTCTAGTCTATAGTCTAGTCTATAGTCTAGTCTATAGTCTAGTCTATAGTCTAGTCTATAGTCTAGTCTATAGTCTAGTCTATAGTCTAGTCTATAGTCTAGTCTATAGTCTAGTCTTTTTTTTTTTTTTTTTTTTTTTTTTTTTTTTTTTTTTTTTTTTTTTTTTTTTTTTTTTTTTTTTTTTTTCATTAGGAGGTGTAAATCTTGCATTTGATTCCCATGGTAATAACCTTGGGATATGTCGGATTCCTACCGACTAAAGCACCCCCTTCGTCATCCAAAACCCCTGCGGGACCGTCTATAATGATATTGCATCGCAGGGTTGGTTAGCCTTATTTTAGCTATTTATCTCAATTAACGTTTCTCGTCTCACTTTCTCTTCCGCTCTTAGCTTCTCATGAACACCTTTAATCATTTTGCTTAATACTTCCCAGTTTTCTGATTTTTGTACCATTAAGTCGACAATATTATGCGGACTTAGGTGATTGCCAACCATTTCTTCCGCTTCTTGTCTCTCTTGTTGATAGCGGGGACAGTGGAACATGACGTGCTCCGGGTCTTCTACTGTATTGGGACAATGCGGGCATTCTGAAGAATCGTCCAGTCCAAATCTGTTCAGATAGCTTCTATAACCGCCATGACCAGAAAGGAACTGTGTTAGGTGATAGTTTACTTCGCCATGCTTTCTATTCCACCACACGTATATATTTGGGATTAATCCAAAAGTCCACCTTCCTTTGCGGCTTTCTTCCCATCTGATTTGCCATAATCGCATTGACTTTTCTCTTTCTATCTTTCGTATGTTTATACCATCATGTTCACCCCGTATTGCTCTTCTCTTCGATTCATATATACGTTTGGCTTCATCTGCTAAGATGTCGACAGGTATCAGCCCTGCAATGACATACGCCGCATCTTCAGATGTTGTACGATATGAACTACATACTCTTAATGCAGATAGCCTATAAACTGCAACTAGTTTTCTTGCCGTTGATTTTACGTTAAGAGCTCCAGCCCATATGGGAGCGGCGTAAAGGATAACAGAGCTAACCACCGTAGATATTAGTTTTCTCTTGTATTGTTTCGGCCCACCTACGTTTGGCATCATTCTTTCGAGTGCAACTCTAATATTCGATGCTTTATTGTGAACATACTCAATGTGAGCTTTGAAATTCAATCTAGCGTCTATTATAATCCCAAGGTACTTAAGATGAGTATTTGATCTAACCTGATGTTCTCCTACGGTTATTTCTAAATTTTCTCTTTTCCGACGGCTCGTCGTCAGCACTACTTCAGTTTTATGTTCTGCTAGCTCCAGGCCAGCACTTTTCATCCAGTTTCTTATAGTTAATATTACCTCGTTAGAGATTAGTTCTACTTCATCTTTAAATCTTGCTGAAACAGTTACCGCGATGTCGTCGGCAAAGCCTATTATATTTGCTTCTTCTGGAATATTCAGCGTTAATACATCGTTGTACATAACGTTCCATAATAAGGGGCCAAGCACCGAACCTTGTGGAACACCTGCGGTGACCTTGTATATTTTGCTACCGTCATCAGTGTTGTAGCACAATATCCTATTTGTGAAGTAGCTTCTTATCATCAGTGTTAGGTAATCCGGTATGCCAAGTCTACATAATTTATTAATTATTAGTCCCCAATTTGCGGAGTTAAACGCGTTTTTTACATCAAGTGTAATTATTGCACAGTATTTTCTGTTTGCGCCTTTGCCTTCAATAGCCGTTCGTGCTGTTTCAACTACCATGTTAATCGCATCGATGGTTGACCTAGCCTTTCGAAACCCGTATTGTCGGGTTGATAAACCTCCGTTTTCTTCCACAATTGGTAGTAGTCTGTTGTATATTATTTTTTCAAGTATTTTACCACTTGTATCAAGGAGGCATATTGGCCTATATGCTGAGGGGTCTCCTAGACGTTTATTGGGTTTTGGAATCAAGATTAGTGATTGTTTCTTCCATGCTTCAGGGAAAACTGCCTCTTTGAGGCATTGGTTAAATAAATCAACAAATGTTTTAGTTGATTGTTTAATTGCCAACTTAAGAGCATTGTTTGGGACGCCATCAGGTCCAGGTGCTTTGTCATCTCCGATTTTATCTACTATTGAGATTAGTTCTTCTTCCGTTGTTAACTCTATGTTTTCTGCGTGATATGGACTTCTTGTTGTAAATACGGAGTTTATGTGTTCTGGAAACAAAGTCTTAACTATTTTATCAAGTAGCTTAGGACAACTGGGTTGGGGGGTTTTCTTTCCCTTAAGGCGAGAGGTGACCACTTGGTAAGCCTTTCCCCATGGATCTGAATCTGCTTCTAAGCATATCTGTTTGAAGCTGTTCTTCTTACTTTTTAGAATTGCATGTTGGAATTCTCTCCTTGCGTATTTGTATTCGCAACACGCTTCTTCAAATCCTGGTCGACCTCTGAGACGTTTAGTCTTTCTTCTGGCTCTTAGACAAGTGGCTCGGAGGTTGCTGATCTCTGAGTTCCACCAATAGTTTGGAGGACGATTCTTTGTTATTCTTCTCCTTGGCATTGCAGAATCACAAGCTCTTCTAAGCCTTAATGAGACCTGTTTCGTCATTTCAGATGCTGTTCCATTCAGTTCTGTAAAATTCAAAAATTCTTGAGTAAATGCTTCTTTGTCAAGTCTCTTAGAAGCCCATCCTGTATAGTTTACGTTGTTCTCCTCCCTATGGGATCTAGTCTATAGTCTAGTCTATAGTCTAGTCTATAGTCTAGTCTATAGTCTAGTCTATAGTCTAGTCTATAGTCTAGTCTATAGTCTAGTCTATAGTCTAGTCTATAGTCTAGTCTATAGTCTAGTCTATAGTCTAGTCTATAGTCTAGTCTAGTCTAGTCTATAGTCTAGTCTATAGTCTAGTCTATAGTCTAGTCTATAGTCTAGTCTATAGTCTAGTCTAGTCTAGTCTAGTCTAGTCTATAGTCTAGTCTATAGTCTAGTCTATAGTCTAGTCTATAGTCTAGTCTATAGTCTAGTCTATAGTCTAGTCTATAGTCTAGTCTATAGTCTAGTCTATAGTCTAGTCTATAGTCTAGTCTATAGTCTAGTCTATAGTCTAGTCTATAGTCTAGTCTATAGTCTAGTCTATAGTCTAGTCTATAGTCTAGTCTATAGTCTAGTCTATAGTCTAGTCTATAGTCTAGTTTCTAGTCTAGTCTAGTCTAGTCTAGTCTATAGTCTAGTCTATAGTCTAGTCTATAGTCTAGTCTATAGTCTAGTCTAGTCTAGTCTAGTCTAGTCTATAGTTCTAGTCTATATTCTAGTCTATAGTATAGTCTATTGTCTAGTCTATAGTCTAGTCTATAGTCTAGCCTTTAGTCTAGAACACAAAATAGTTTGCTTTCCAAACTTTGAGCTGCCTACTAAAAGACAAAAGAACTGATTACATTATAATGGTAACCACAGAGGTTGCTTATTACGTCATTATTTTTTAATTATTTTTATAATTATATTTTGGTATATTAATAGCATGTTAAAAATAAGTGAAGCCTGGCAACTCTTAATAGATAAAGCTTTTTTATTAAAAACACTAGCCACACACATTCATATCACACTCCCAAAACCCACAAAACATTCAGTTTATTCTTGATCGTCGTATACAATATAACAGAAAAAAACTAATAGAATTAGAATTAAATAAATTAAATCGAAAAATGTTTATATCTCTAGTGCTAATAACAATAGTTTTGGGACTCTTGTCATATATAATATGGTGGTATCATAAACGTTTAGCCTATTGGGCGGAACAAGGTATACCCCATGAGAAACCCCACTGGTTGTTGGGTAATTTTAAAGGCCTCATGGATACTATTAACTTCCACGAAATGCTATTTTATTTCTATAACAAATTTAAGGGCAAGGGACCATTTGCTGGTTTTTATTTTGCCTCCAAACCTACGGTCTTTCTAATGGATCCTAAACTTATACAACAGGTGTTGATTAAAGATTTTTCAAATTTTACCGATCGTGGCTTTTATTACAATGAAGAAGATGATCCTCTAACAGGTCAATTATTCTTATTGGACGGTCAGCAATGGAAAAATATGAGAAATAAATTATCGCCCACTTTTACATCGGGAAAAATGAAACATATGTTTCCCATTATCATTGATATAGGAGAGGAATTTATTAATGTAATGGCTGAGGAGATAAAGGAACATGATAACATTATAGAAATCAAAGATTTAACTAGCCGCTTTACCACCGATGTTATAGGCACTTGTGCCTTTGGTATCGACTGCAATAGTCTTAAAGAACCCTTTACCGAATTTCGTGTAATGGGCAAACGGGCTATTAAAGAACAAAGACATGGCTTGCTGATAAATGGTATAATGCAAAACTTTCCCGAATTGGCTCGTCTTATACATTATAAACAAATACCCGATGATATAGAAAAATTCTATATTGATTTGGTTAAACAGACGGTGGAGTATCGTGAAAAGAATAATGTGCGTCGTAATGATTTAATGGATACTTTAATAGATTTGAAAAATAAAAAACTTATCGCAGCAGAACATGGTGAAGAGTTAACAAATCTAACTTTAAATCAAATAGCAGCCCAGGCTTTTGTATTCTTTAATGCAGGCTTTGAGACCTCTTCGACCACCATGTCATTTGCTTTATATGAATTGGCTAGACATAGGGAAATACAAGACAAGGTACGCTTGGAAATCGATGAGGTATTGGAGAAATATCAACAGAAATTTACCTATGAGAGTATGAAGGAAATGAAATATTTAAATCAAATTATAGAGGGTAAGTTGGAAAAGTAAGATATATATCGTTCCAATATACTAAATTGTATATTATTTTCTTAACAGAAACCTTGAGGTTATACACCATTGTACCTATGATCAATCGCACGGCCTTAAGTGACTACGTTGTGCCGGGTTATCCCAATTATATTATAAAGAAAGGCATGAATATTTCCATACCCGCTTGTGCTATACATCGGGATCCCGATTATTATGCCCAACCTGAGGTTTTCTATCCTGAACACTTTGCCGAAGATGTAGTGGCCCAGCGTGAACCTTGCGTTTGGTTGCCCTTCGGTGAGGGTCCACGCAATTGTATTGGCATGCGTTTCGGTAAAATGCAAACTATTATTGGTCTCGTAATGCTTTTAAGAAATTTCAAATTTTCGGTTTGTGAGCAAACAAAAATACCTCTGACTTTTGATAAGAAAAGTTTTATGTTGGCCACGGACCATGGTATTTATTTGAAAGTTGAGGCGATTTAAAAATACATATATAAATAAAATTTAATGTGATCATATATATAAATATCAACAATGTGGTTTCTGAAGAAACGCATTTTAAGTTTCAAATATAGTTATGAACTTCTTTGTACTTTAATCTATAATTATAATTAACATGTTTAATTAATATTACTATTTTCTACCAGTTTAATTATAATTCTAATTTACATTTACCTTATTATGGGTTAATTAGTACCAATTAATAAGATTTATTTAAATAAAGTAACGTTTTATTTATATTTACTAAAGTTTTGTTGAAATGGGTGTGTTTTATCTCAGAGAGTTTTAAGAGAAAGAGTAAATATTGGTGAGTAATTATCCAGCAGTTTTATAAGTGGTCACATAACCTCGTTAAGACAATTTACTTCACTATTAAGCAAAAATAAGTCAACTGATTACTTAAACTATAGTACGTGATCTAGTCTCTACTTAATGGTGATTTTAGTGCCCCCAAGTAATCTAAAGTGTAGTTATTACCAATTCCAAAGTATTCGATTTTAAGAATAAATTAATTTTCGAACCTAAGTTAGATGACTGAATTTAAGTTTTATTGTAATCTTTTCAGGTTCAACTGTTTTCTTATGCTGCAACCACTATTGACAGATCGGTAAAATCAAAAAGACCTCCAGATCAACTGGGTATGTATAAAAAGTTAATATACAAACATATGTTTATGTGTATTTATTTGCGAACCAACAAAAAATATGAATAAAATATATGGCAAAATGAGTTAATAAAACTTTTAGATTTTTAATATCTACAGCGATAATGGCAAGACCATAATGCATTACTTCATCAAGAAATATTGAACAAATTAATGACCTTGATTAATTTTTTTAAAGCGTTTTTAAAAAAAAATTTATAGAGAATGTTAAAAAACTTTCTATAGAAAATGTTGAGCAATTTGTATAGAAAATGTTGAGCAATTTGTATAGAAAATGTTGAGCAATTTGCATAGAAAATTTTAAGCAATTTCTATAGAAAATGCTGAGCAATTTCTATAGAAAATTTTGAGCAATTTCTATAGAAAATATTGAGGAATTTCTATAGAAAATATTGAGCAATTTCGATTGAAAATCTTGAGCAATATCTATAGAAAATTTTGAGCAATTTCTATGGAATAATTTGAGCAATTTCTGTAGAAAATTTAGAGCAATTTTCGTAGAAAATTTTGAGCAATTTCTATGGAAAATGTTGGGCAATTTCTATAGAAAATGTTGAGTAATTTCTACAGAAAATGTTGAGCAATTTCTATAGAAAATTTGAGCAACTTCCTTAGGAAAGTGTTGAGCAATTTCTATAGAAAATCTTGAGCAATTTCTATAGAAAATATTTAGCAATTTCTATAGAAAATATTGAGCAATTTCTTGGGGAAAATGTTTAGCAATTTCTTTAGGAAAATGTTGAGCAATTTCTTTAGAAAATGTTGAGCTATTTCTATAGAAAATGTTATGTAATTTCTAAAGGAACATTTTGAGCAATTTCTATAGAAAATGTTGAGCAATTTCTAAAGGAAATGTTGAGCAATTTCTACAGAAAATGTTGAGCAATTTCTTTAGAAAATGTTGAGCAATTTTTACAGAAGATGTTGAGCAATTTCTATAGAAAATTTGAGCAATTTCCTTAGGAAAATGTTGGGCAATTTCTATAGAAAATGTTGAGTAATTTCTACAGAAAATGTTGAGCAATTTCTATAGAAAATTTGAGCAACTTCCTTAGGAAAGTGTTGAGCAATTTCTATAGAAAATCTTGAGCAATTTCTATAGAAAATATTTAGCAATTTCTATATAAAATATTGAGCAATTTCTTGGGGAAAATGTTTAGCAATTTCTTTAGGAAAATGTTGAGCAATTTCTTTAGAAAATGTTGAGCTATTTCTATAGAAAATGTTATGTAATTTCTAAAGGAACATTTTGAGCAATTTCTATAGAAAATGTTGAGCAATTTCTAAAGGAAATGTTGAGCAATTTCTACAGAAAATGTTGAGCAATTTCTTTAGAAAATGTTGAGCAATTTTTACAGAAGATGTCGAGCAATTTCTATAGAAAATTTGAGCAATTTCCTTAGGAAAATGTTGAGAAATTTCTATAGAAAATGTTGAGCAATTTCTTTAAGAAAATGTTGAGCAACTTGTTTGGGAAAAATGTTGAGCAATTTCTTAAAGAAAATTTTGTGGATTTTCTGTAGAAAACGTGGAGCAATTTCTATACAAAATGTTGAGCAATTTGTTAAGAGAATATTCAGTCAAAATGTTAAGCAATTTCTATATAAAATGTTGAACAATTTCTTTAGGTAGTGTTTAGCAATTTCTATGGAAAATGTTGTACAATTTCTATAGAAAATGTTGTACAATTTCTATAGAAAATGTTGGGCAATTTCTATACAAAATGTTGAGCAATTTCTATAGGAAAATGTTGAGCAATTTCTTTAGAAAAATGTTGAGCAATTTCTTTAGAAAAATGTTGAGCAATTTCTATAGAAACTGTTGGGAATTTCAGTAGAAAATGTTGAACAAGTTCTATAGAAAATGTTGAGCAATTTCTTTAGGAAATGTGGAGCAATTTCTTTGAAAATGTTGAGCACTTTCTGTAGAAAAATATTGAGCAATTTCTATAGGAAAATGTTTATCAATTAATATAGGAAATGATGAGCAATTTCTAGAGAAAAATGTTGATCATTCTCTATAGGAAAATATTGAGAATTTTCTTTAAGAAAATGTTGAGCATGATGATGTGTATTTCTTTACGAAAGTTTTAAACGATTTTTTTTTTTTTTTTTGAAAAATGTTGAGGAATTTCTATAGAAAATGTTGGCAACTTCTATAAAAATCAAGTAAAGTCAATTGGGTTCCTTTCTTTCATTACCAATTGAAATTTATACATTAGCAAGACCATCAAGTATGATCTCATAAATGAACTCAAAATGAAAAAATAAAAACATTTATTGAATTAAAGCAAAAATCAGACAAATAACTTAAATACAAAGATGCTAAACATATGTTTCAATATCATTTACGCATTCAAAATAATCTCAAAAGTTTTTTTCTTAAAAATAAATTTACAATTTCTTAACTTTCAAATAAACACCCTTCTCGGGTCCCAAAAAGTAGGCATTTTTATCGAATACTGGTGGTATTTGGGTACGCTCACAAATGGAGAATTTGAAATTTTGCACTAGCAAAGCCAATGCCAAACGGGTTTGCATGACACCGAAACGTAAACCAATACAATTACGTGGTCCTTCGCCAAAAGGTAAATGTAAAATAGAATCACGTTCAAGAACCTTAGAGGGTAAGAAATTGTCGGGATTAAAGTCATTGGCATTGGCATAAAACTCTTCATCACGGTGAACACCTATGACAGGTATTAGAACATTCATGCCCTTTTTGATAACATATTTAGGATGGCCGGGAACCGGAAAATCCTCCAAGCAGCAACGGTTCAGAACGGACACAATGGTATACAGACGTAGAGTTTCTGTTGGTGAAGGAAATTTTCTTAAGAAATATAATTAAATATTTAAATTCATTTAACAAAATTACCTTGTAAAACTTGATGCAAATATACCATTTCTTTTAAGCTTTCATAGTTAAAGGTTTTGTCATATTTCAGCCAGATTTCATTTATTTCCTCTCTCAATTTCTCCTGTATGGACTCATGTCGAGCTAACTCATATAAGCAAAAACCTAAAGTTGTGGAGGAGGTCTCATAGCCTGCCGTAAAGAATAATACTATTTGTGCCGCCATTTCCCCTAAACTTAAATTGATGAATTCTTCCCCATTTTCCGCTTTAATGGCTTTATTATTTCTCAATTCCATTAAAATATCTATAAAATCATGACGCTTGACTTGATTTTCTTCTCTAAAGTTTATGGTGTCTCTAACTAGACCCATAAAGAAGTCGCTTACTTCGTCGGGTACCAATTTCCAGTGCATTTTTTTAGCCAATTTAGGAAAATTAAATATCAGAGCTTGACCCAATTCACCATGTCGTTGTTCGGTCAGTAGACGTTTTCCCATTATATGAAATTTGGCCTCGGGATTAGTTAAACTATTGCACTCTATGCCAAAAGCACAAGAGCCTATAACATCGGTACCAAAATATCTCTTAGTTCTACTACACCATCCTCCTCCTCTTTGGACTTTTTCTCCAAAGCCTTTACCAATTCTTCGGCCACTTTATTAACTGTGGAAAACATTAACTTTATTTTGCCTGATGAAAAGGCAGGAGTAAGCTTTTGTCTTAAAGTTTTCCATTTCGCACCATCCAACATAAACAGCTGACCCGTCAAGGGATCATCTTCAGGATTATGAAAGAAACCACGATCGGCAAATTTATGAAATTCTTTTATCAATATAGTTTTCATTAGTTCAGTATCTAAGATAAACACCGCCGGATGACTAAATGATCTAACCATATTTCGGTAAAAGATCTAACCATATTTCGGTAAAAGATCTTTTACTTCTTAGACCGGTAAAGTTGCCCAGTAATATATTCGGTTTTTCACAGGCAATACCCAATGATTGCCAATAATTTAAACGTTTTTGAAGGAAAATTATGAAGTACGTAAAAAGAGTGACTAAAACACCCACCAAAATGGCCGAGATCAACATTTTTGGTGTATTTCGGAGAAGTACTTGAAAATAACTAAATTTTCACCGCACAAAAAAAAACAATATTTTGTGAAGAAAAGTATTTGTTATGGTTGAAAGGGAGGAGAAAGAGGGTTGTTTAATAAACAAATAATATTTGAGAGAGTATAAACTTAAACCAAGAGCTTTTTTATGTTAACACAAAAGCTTTTACCTACTAGCTAAAGAATTTAGCAAAACAAAAAGTTCTAAAAAGATAACAAAAAGAAAAATGCAGACAAGACCGACTGAGTGATAGCCTACACCAGGTGTAAACATAATTTAAAGAAGTTAGTTAGTTAGTTAGTTAGTTAGTTAGTTAGTTAGTTAGTTAGTTAGTTAGTTAGTTAGTTAGTTAGTTAGTTAGTTAGTTAGTTAGTTAGTTAGTTAGTTAGTTAGTTAGTTAGTTAGTTAGTTAGTTAGTTAGTTAGTTAGTTAGTTAGTTAGTTAGTTAGTTAGTTAGTTAGTTAGTTAGTTAGTTAGTTAGTTAGTTAGTTAGTTAGTTAGTTAGTTAGTTAGTTAGTTAGTTAGTTAGTTAGTTAGTTAGTTAGTTAGTTAGTTAGTTAGTTAGTTAGTTAGTTAGTTAGTTAGTTAGTTAGTTAGTTAATTACTTAGTATGAGAAGAGCGCAACACATTCCACTCTCCCACTTTTAAAAGCCTTTGCTTGCTCTCACCTAAAGCTTCAATTTATAAAATTTGTTTACGATTATAATACATAACCAGATATTACTGTTCTACCTATATACACCGATACAACTCAAAACTGATATATATTGCAAATCATCCATAACAAACAAAAATTTCTATACAAACCTCAATTGAGAAATGTTTAGTTGTATAAAATTCAAACATATGTATAATTAAATAAAAACACACACTTGTTGAATACAAAGTACATACACTGTAAAAATGAGTATGACAATATTTTTTTATTTTTCTTTTTTTAACTAATAACGCACCATATCGCAACTTATTCCACTTTAGTAACTTTCAAATAAATACCCTTCTCGGTACTTAATAGAAAACTTTTTTTACTCAGTGTTAAAGGTATTTCAGTTTTAGAGCAGACCGAGAATTTGAAATTCTTTAAGAGTAAAGCTAAACCGATAATAGTTTGCATTTTACCAAAACGTAAACCAATGCAATTGCGTGGACCCTCACCGAATGGCAGCCATAAGACTGAATCACGTTCAGCCACCTTATCAGGAGAAAAGTTATCTGGATTGAATTTAAGCGGTTCGGGATAATATTTCTCATCACGATGTATAGCTCCGATGGGTATTATAATAGGCATGCCTTTTTTGATCACCAAATTGGGATGGCCTGGCACCACATAATCTTCCAAACAGGAGCGATTTAGTATGGGCAAAACTGTGTACAAGCGAAGTGTTTCTGAAAAAAAAAATTATTAGAATAGGTTTTGGTTAGAGAAAATCTTTCTAATTTCACTAACCTGCCATTACTTGCTCCAAATATACCATATCCTTCATGCACTCGTACGTAAATTTCTGATCATGTTTGGCGAAATTCTTTAAAACTTCCTGTCGGGCTCTCTCCTGCACCTCTTCATTTTGAGCCAATTCATATAAAGCAAAGCCCATGGTCGTGGAGGAAGTCTCAAAGCCCGCAGTGAAAAATACAAAAGCCTGGGCAGCTATTTCATCTATGGTTAAATTAGTCAATTCATCACCATGTTCGGTTTTAATCAATTTCTTATTTTTCAAATCAATCAACATATCCATAAAATCATTACGTCTGATATTATTTTTCTCACGATATTCCACTGTTTCTCTGACTATGCGCATGAAAAATGCTTCTATATCATCGGGCGTCTGTTTGAAGTGCAACTTACGGGCTAATTCTATAAAACTGGCCATAAAGGCTATAACTAAACGATTGTGTCTCTGCTCCACTAAGGCTTTACGACCCATTACTCGAAATTCCGCATTGGGATCTTTTAAACTGCTGCATTCAATGCCAAAAGCACAAGTGCCTATGACGTCGGTGGTAAAACGGGCCAGCAACTCCTTAACCTCTACAATACTATCTTGTTCCCTAACCATTCTATCGAAAACCTCAATAAATTCCTCTCCCACTCGTATAACTGTGGGAAACATAAATTTCATTTTACCCGAGGTAAACGTAGGCGATAGTTTATTTCTCATATTTTTCCATTTCAAGCCATCCAACAGAAACAATTGTCCCGATAAAGGATCATCTTTTTCATTATGAAAGAAGCCACGATCGGTGAAGTTTTGAAAATCTTTTATTAAAATATTTTTAATTAATTGAGGCTCCAAAGCAAATACAGCCGGTTTGTAAAACCAATAAAAACCCACAAAAGGACCACTGCCACGGAATTTATCATAATAATCTTGCCAGATTTCGTAGAAACCTCGACTGGTTTGTACTCCTTTTAGATTGCCCAGCAGCATATGCGGTTCCTCACACTTAACACCCAACATTTGCCAGTAGGACAACTTTTTGCGTAAGTGTAGAAAAAGAGCGACTAACAGACCCGTGAGAGTAGTTAAGAGAAACGATAACATTGACATTTTGTCGATTTTTTAAGCGTAACGCGATAGAAGAAATACGACCGTTAAACACGGTTGTTGAAAATGAACTAATTTGCAAAACATATATTGAGTGTTAGAGTAGTTATTAGACAATTATAAAAACTTATCAAATTTCTTGCTACTAATGACTTATCATTTAGATAGTGAGATAATACATTTTTTTCGTAGTAACTTGATTAGAAGCTCTAAGTATTAATAACACAGTCAGGGCTAATGCAATAAGATAGTGTTCACTCTACGTTGCACTTTCCATCGTGTGCCACTTTGAAGACTGTTTTGGTACCCTACATCAAACAAGATATGCTTTTGCCAATTTAGTAATAAAAACTGAAATCTTAAATTTATTATTATATATAGACTAGACTATATAGACTGGACTACAGACCGGACTATAGACTATAAACTAGACTATAGACTAGACTATAGACTAGACTATAGACTAGACTATAGACTAGACTATAGACTAGACTATAGACTAGACTATAGACTAGACTTTAGACTAGACTATAGACTAGACTATAGACTAGACTATAGACTAGACTATAGACTAGACTATAGACTAGACTATAGACTAGACTATAGACTAGACTATAGACTAGACTACAGACTAGACTATAGACTAGACTATAGACTAGACTATAGACTAGACTATAGACTAAACTATAGACTAAACTATAGACTAAACTATAGACTTGAATATAAACTAGACTATAGACTAGACTATAGACTAGACTATAGACTAGACTATAGACTAGACTATAGACTAGACTATAGACTAGACTATAGACTAGACTATAGAATAGACTATAGACTAGACTATAGACTACACTATAGACTAGACTATAGACTAGACTATAGACTAGACTATAGACTAGACTATAGAATAGACTATAGACTAGACTATAGAGTAGACTATAGACTAGACTATTGACTAGACTATTGACTAGACTATAGACTAGACTGTAGACTAGGCTATAGACTATACTATAGACTAGACTATAGACTAGACTATAGACTAGACTATAGTCTAGACTATAGACTAGACTATAGACTAGGCTATAGACTAGACTATAGACTAGACTATAGACTAGACTATAGACTAGATTATAGACTAGACTATAGACTAGACTATAGACTAGACTATAGACTAGACTATAGACTAGACTATAGACTAGACTATAGACTAGACTATAGACTAGACTATAGACTAGACTATAGACTAGACTATAGACTAGACTATAGACTAGACTATAGACTAGACTATAGACTAGATTAAAGACTAGACTATAGACTAGACTATAGACTAGACTATAGACTAGACTATAGACAAGACTATAGACTAGACTATAGACTAGACTATAGACTAGACTATAGACTAGACTATAGACTAGACTATAGACTAGACTATAGACTAGACTATAGACTAGACTATAGACTAGACTATAGACTAGACTATAGACTAGACTATAGACTAGACTATAGACTAAACTATAGACTAGACTATAGACTAGACTATAGACTAGACTATAGACTAGACTATAGGCTAGACTATAGACAAGACTATAGACTAGACTATAGACTAGACTATAGACTAGACTATAGACTAGACTATAGACTAGACTATAGACTAGACTATAGACTGGACTATAGACTAAACTATAGACTTGACTATAGACTAAACTATAGACTAAACTATAGACTTGACTATAGACTGGAATATAAACTAGACTATAGACTAGACTATAGACTAGACTATAGACTAGACTATAGACTAGACTATAGACTAGATTATAGACTAGACTATAGACTAGACTATAGACTAGACTATAGACTAGACTATAGACTAGACTATAGACTAGACTATAGACTAGACTATAGACTAGACTAGAGACTAGACTATAGACTAGACTATAGACTAGACTATAGACTAGACTAGACTATAGACTAGACAATACACTAGACTATAGACTAGACTATAGACTAGACTATAGACTAGACTATAGACTAGACTATAGACTAGACTATAGACTAGACTATAGACTAGACTATAGACTAGACTATAGACTAGACTATAGACTAGACTATAGACTAGACTATAGACTAGACTATAGACTAGGCTATGGACTAGACTATACACTAGACTATACACTAGACTATACACTAGACTATAGACTAGACTATAGACTAGACTGTAGACTAGACTTTAGACTAGACTTTAGACTAGACTTTAGACTAGACTATAGACTAGACTATAGACTAGACTATAGACTAGACTATACACTAGACTATACACTAGACTATAGACTAGACTATAGACTAGACTATAGACTAGACTTTAGACTAGACTATAGACTTGACTATAGACTATACTATAGACTAGACTATAGACTAGACTATAGACTAGACTATAGACTAGACTATAGACTAGACTATAGACTAGACTATAGACTAGACTATAGACTAGACTATAGACTAGACTATAGACTAGACTATAGACTAGACTATAGACTAGACTATAGACTAGACTATAGACTAGACTATAGACTAGACTATAGACTAGACTATAGACTAGAATATAGGCAAGATTATAAAGTAAACTATAGACTAGACTATAGATTGGACTAGACTACAGACTAGACTATAGACTAGACTATAGGCTAAATTATAGACTAGACTATAGATTAGACTATAGACTGGTCTATGGATTAGACTAGAGACTTGATTATAGACTAGACTATATTGATCACTTAACAACTAGTTAATAGAGTTTGTCATTTCTAGGTTTTGGTAAAACATCAATATACATCAGAACAGTTATACTATCTATCAAAATAATTGATATACATTTATTCAAATTCTCTGATACGGTCATAATTTCTAAACCGATTAAATATGTATAATTCTACTTAATGAACTGTTATCTACATTCCAAAATTTTATATCAATGTTTGAAAAAAATAAATTTAGTCTTAATAATACAACAAACAGTTAATAATAGAATTTACTTTTACAACTTATCTATAATATTTCGAAAACAATTTCATAACAGTATTAAGTATTTACTAAACAAAAAAAGCAAATGTTTATAACAACATGACAAATAGAAAAAATATGAAATCTTAAATATTAATGTTAACAATTTAACTAAAATTATGAAATTTACTTAAAAATAAATACATACAATAACTAGATTAACAAAAGCAATAATTCTTTACTTTACTTTTTATTTTAAATAAATTTTTAACCTTTACACTCTGCTGGCCTTTAAAAACAAATTGCCATCGGGTGTAACCATGAAATTCTCCTTGTCATATCTCATGGGTATTAGAGTCTCCTTACAGATGGTAAATTTGAAATTTTTCAATAACAAAGCCAAACCGATTAATATTTGCATTTTGCCAAAACGACTGCCTATACAATTGCGGGGACCGTCTCCAAAGGGTAAATACAAAACCGAATCTCTCAGAGCCACTTGTTCGGCTGAGAAGTTAGAGGGATTGAATTTCATAGGATTGGGAAAATATTGTTCATCACGATGTATAGAAATGGCGGGTATAACCACAGGCATATCTTTTTTAATCACAAATTTAGAATGGCCCGGTACAACATAATCCTCCAAGGCCACACGATTTAAGGCGGGTAGGGGTGTATAAAGTCTTAAGGTTTCTGAAAAGTTCAAAATTAAAAATAGCTGAGTGTTACTTGAAATATGATTAAATTTTTCTCTTACCTTGTAGTATCTGATCCAAATATTTCAACTCACTCAAGCACTCATAGCTAAACTCTTGATCGTGTTGCTCCAATACTTTATTTACCTCCTGTCTAGCTTTCTCTTGTATATCCTCATTCAAAGCCAATTCATATAAAGCAAATGACATGGTGGTAGAGGAAGTATCTGAACCGGCTACCAAAAATATAAAAGCCTGGGCTGCCACTTCATTTAGAGATAAATTTGTAAATTCCTCACCGCTATCACTTTTCACCATTTTATTATTTTTCAATTCCAATAGTAAATTCATAAAATCATTACGTTTCACTTGATTCTCTTCACGATATTTAACTGTAGCCTTGACCATACCCATAAAGAAATCTTCTATCTCGTGGACAGTATCACGCATGCGCAAACGTAAGGCCAATTTCGGGAAACTAAAGCGAAAGGCCACACCAAAATTACCCAAATGATTTTCCAATAAAGCTCTTTTACTCATTACATGAAACTTAGCATGAGGATCTGTTAAGCTATTGCATTCCAAACCAAAAGCACAGTTGCCTATAACATCGGTAGTATAACGTGATACTATATCACGTATTTCGACTTTATTATCGTTCTCTATAGTCCTTGCAAAAGTCTTCACCAACTCTTCTGCCACCTTGACCACCGTGGGAAACATAAATTTCATTTTACCCGAGGTAAAAGTAGGCGACATTTTACTTCTCAAACTGCGCCACTTGGGGCCCTCCAAATTGAACAAATGACCCGATAAAGGATCATCCTCCTCGTTCACAAACAAACCACGATCGGAAAATTTATTGAAATCCTTAATCAAAATTTGTTTAATCAAAGCCACATCCGTTACAAATACCGCTTGCCTATAGAACCAATAGAAGCCCGCAAATGGTCCTACATTTTTGTATTTATAATAAGTTTCTTGTATGATATCAAGAAATGTACGTTCTGTTACGGCTCCCTTAAAACTGCCAAAGATCCAACTGGGCTCATCACAACCTATGCCCAAATTTTGCCAATATTTAAAGTGTTTGTTTAAAGCGTATAGAAAATACAATGCCAGCAGTAGTAATATGGTTAATAATATTAATAATATGGACATTATTAAGTAATAATGATTTTAAGGTGTCGAGCTAGTGATGGTAGAAATTGAACTGAATTTAATTCTCAGATTTCTTGAATAATTTAAGTGTTTTTGGTTTGTTTGAAATCTTATCTTTGTTATTATTTGTGTGATTGTAAAGTACAAAAAAAGTTGCCAGATTGTTTGGAGGAATGTTATAAAAAAAGGGGATTAGTTATAGACATTATTACGCAGGAAGTCGGGATTTATTAGGATCAAGCGAGTCAACTAACTAACTAACTAACTAACTAACTAACTAACTAACTAACTAACTAACTACTAACTAACTAACTAACTACTAACTAACTAACTAACTAACTAACTAACTAACTAACTAACTAACTAACTAACTACTAACTAACTAACTAACTAACTAACTAACTAACTAACTAACTAACTAACTAACTAACTAACTAACTAACTAACTAACTAACTAACTAACTAACTAACTAACTACTAACTAACTAACTAACTAACTAACTAACTAACTAACTAACTAACTAACTAACTAACTAACTAACTAACTAACTAACTAACTAACTAACTAACTAACTAACTAACTAACTAACTAACTAACTAACTAACTAACTAACTAACTACTAACTAACTAACTAACTAACTAACTACTAACTAACTAACTAACTAACTAACTACTAACTAACTAACTAACTAACTAACTAACTAACTAACTAACTACTAACTAACTAACTAACTACTAACTAACTAAATAACTAACTAACTAACTAACTAACTAACTAACTAACTAACTAACTAACTAACTAACTAACTAACTAACTAACTAACTAACTAACTAACTAACTAACTAACTAACTAACTAACTAACTAACTAACTAACTAACTAACTAACTAACTAACTAACTAACTAACTAACTAACTAACTAACTAACTAACTAACTAACTAACTAACTAACTAACTAACTAACTAACTAACTAACTAACTAACTACTAACTAACTAACTAACTAACTAACTAACTAACTAACTAACTAACTAACTAACTAACTAACTAACTAACTAACTAACTAACTAACTAACTAACTAACTAACTAACTAACTAACTAACTAACTAACTAACTAACTAACTAACTAACTAACTAACTAACTAACTAACTAACTAACTAACTAACTAACTAACTAACTAACTAACTAACTAACTAACTAACTAACTAACTAACTAACTAACTAACTAACTAACTACTAACTAACTAACTAACTAACTAACTAACTAACTAACTAACTAACTAACTAACTAACTACTCCTCTTTCAGTGCAAATTTCATTATTTTCTTTTTAAATAGTTTCAAAATATTGAGTAATCCAAAGTTTTAAAAGTTTTCTGATTATCAAATTTTCATTATCGATAAGAGAGCTGCTTATCGGTCGTCGTAGTTTTGGCAGACTAAGTTTTGTTGCTAACTACTTTGCATAGACTAGACCACCAGCTGTTTCAGATAAATTATTGTTTCATAAAGATTATTGATATTAGATCCTCAAACATCTGTATATTGATCAATTGATATAAAAAAAAATTGGGACACTTAAAGTATCAGATATTAGACCCCTGTAGGGTGCATAGAGGAAAAATAAAATTAATTTTTAATTACTTTAATACACATTTATATCAAGATAACATAAATAATAAAAGTATAATCAAATGCACAATTTTAAACTGAGATAAAGGCAGAAAACGCTTGTCATTATTATTGTTGTTTTTATTATTTTATAAACTTCTACAGTTTAGTAACTCTTAAATGGATACCACCCTCAGAACTGCACAAAAAGTTATTTTTATCATATTTCATAGGTATTTGCGTCTTATCACACACTGTAAACTTGAAATTTTTCAAAAGTACCGCTAGACCCACTAATGCCTGCATTTTGCCAAAACGCATACCAATACAATTGCGAGGACCATCACCAAAAGGCATATGTAGAACGGAATCACGTTGGGCCACCTTGTCGGCAGTAAAATTATCGGGATTGAAAACATTAGGATTAGGATAATAACGTTCATCACGATGTATAGCGCCGGCCGGTATTAACACTAACATGTCTTTTTTTATAATAAACTTGGGATGACCCGGTACTGGGTAATCCTCAGAGGCGTAACGGGTTATCAAAGGCAAAACGGTGTATAAACGTAAAGTTTCTAAAATTTAAATAAAATATTAAATTTTATTATTTATTTAAAATGAAATAACCAACCTGCTATAATTTGTTCCATATACACCATTTCCTTCATGGCTTCATAGGTAAATTCTTGATTATGTTTCTCCAAAACTGTTATTACTTCTTCTCGGGCCTTTTGTTGTATATCCTCATGTTGAGCCAATTCGTAAAGAGCAAAACCCATGGTGGTGGAAGATGTCTCGAAACCGGCCACCAAAAACACAAAAGCCTGAGCAGCTATTTCCTCCATAGTAAGATTAGTCAACTCTTCTCCGGTTTCCGATTTCATTAATTTATTATTTTTCAAATCGATTAACATGTCCATGAAATCATTACGTCTTACATTATTTTCTTCCCGATAGCGCACTGTTTCCTTAACAATACCCATGAAAAAGTCCTCCACCTCTTGTAGGGTATCCTTCATATGTAGCTTCCTAGCTAATTGGGGAAAACTATTACGAAAGGCTATGCCTACACGACCATAACGTTGTTCTACTATAGATTTACGGCCCATCATGCGGAACTTGTTATTGGGATCCCGTAAACTGCTCATTTCCAAACCAAATGCACAGCTGCCTATAACATCGGTGGTAAAACGGGCCATTAGATCACCCACTTCTATTATGTCATTCTCCTTTGCCGCATTACCAAATACTTGTACAAATTCTTTACTGATATTGGTAATAATGGGGAACATGGTTTTCATTTTACCCGAGGTAAAGGTGGGTGACAGCTTATTACGCATATGACGCCATTTATTGCCCTCTAAATTAAACAGCATACCCGACAAGGGATCATCCTCTTCATTTACATAGAAACCACGATCCACAAATTTCGAGAAATCTTTTATTAAAATCAATTTTAAAAGCGCCGGATCAAAAACAAACACTGCCGGTTTGAAAAACCAATAAAATCCAGCAAATGGTCCTGTGTTTTTATATTTATCATAAAATTGCTGCCATACCTCAACGAAAGCACGTTTAGAACCTATACCGGTTATATTGCCCAGTAAAAATGTAGGCTCCTCACAGGCTATACCCAGCGTTTGCCAATAATTATAACGCTGACGCAATACTTTATAGAAATAAGCCAAAATGGCTAATAATATTAGAATTAAAATTTCAAAAATCATTTTCGATTTCTAAACTTTTCGATTGATTGAGCACAACCCAACCGAGCACCGTTTGCTTAATAACTAAACTTTTGAAAAGCGTTTTAGTTTTTTTTTTTTTAACAAAAATAATAGTAAAAGAAAGCTTTTTAAATTAATCAATTGAAATTCTCTCTGTGGTTCTGATATCTACAGTTTTGTGAATATAGAGCAGAGTTGCTGAGGTATGACCACAGTAATTTAATGTTCCTGAAAAGTGTATTATTTTAACCAGTTCAAAGCGAAAATAAAATTCTATGAAACGGAAATTTTTGCATATTTTTCCGATATTCTCTTAAGTTCGTTTCGATAATATTATCGTAATTGATCAGAGAGAAATGTTCTCTTCAATAGACCAGTCAATATACTAGTTTATAGAATAGGTTAGTCCGTAAACCAGAGGAGCGCAAGATTGCCATTACATAGCACGCGTGATAGGGTAAGAAAATTCTGCTGACGCTAAGTTGATACACATACACTATAGGTTTAATTCTTCTTCTTTTTATAATGAGCAATATCAGTGGGTTTGCTCTCAACTTGAAAAACAAAATCAAATCAGTTGCTGATCAGCACTTGTCGAAGCAAGGTCTGTACGCGACGTTTTTAAAATACACACAGAAATACAACAACAAAATTTTGAGAAAGCCGAATTAATGTAGGAGAACATGAGAGAACAGTTGTTAGTTTTTTATATATAGACTTTGATATACGCTGGCTGTCAAAATCCATAATAAACATTTGACAGTTAGCATATACATTATAGTTTATAGTCATTTTATTAGTATACTTTTATTTTGAATTGAATTCTGTTCTCTGCTGCTTTACCAACACAAATAAAACTATGGTACTCTATGGTAGTATGTGTTTGAGCAACACTGCCGTAAACTAATAGACAATGATATACCAGTCACTAAACTAGTCAATGGACTAGTCCGCAAACCTGTCAATATAATAGTCCAGTGAATAGACAAGTCCATAGACTATACCGTAGATTAGTCCATAGACTAGTCTATTGACAAGTCAATAAACTAGTCACTAGACTATTCTATAGGCCTGTCAATAGACCAGTCCATAGACTAATGAATAGACTAGTGAATAGACTAGTCAATAGACTATTCAATAGACTAGTCCATAGACAAGTCAATATCCCAGTCAATAGACTAGTCAATATCTAGTTCGTAGTCCAATCTATATAATGATCCATAGAATTCTCAATAGACTAGTCCATGGATTAGTCAAAAAACTGGTCTATGGATTAGTCGATGGACCAGTACATGGACTAGTCTGTGTACTAGTTAATTGACTATTCTATAGGCCTGTCAATATACCAGTCCGTAGACTATTCAGGGGACTAGTTCATAGACCAGTGAATCGTCTAGACAATAGACTTATCAATATCTAATCCATAGAGCAATCAATAAAAATGATTTATAGAATTCTCAAGGCACTAGTGTTTGAACTAGTCTCTAGATTATTTTATTGACATTTTGATAGAACAGAATATATAGTCCATAGAATAGTCAATAAACTAGTCCATGGACTATTCCATAGACTAGTCAATAAACTATTTCATCGATTAATCAGTGTACTAGTCCATCGATTAGAGATTTAAGAGAATTGTCCATAGACTGGTTCCTAGACTAGTTTATATACTTAATAATATATCAGTCCAAAATAGACTATTCCACAGATAAAACGCAATTTTAAATCGGACAAATTAACGGTTTTGCTCAGTGATGTCTGTTAGGTAAAAGTTTTATCATCGTTAACTACACTCTTAAAGTTAGGCAGTTATCAAATTAGCGTTATCGATAAGGGAGCTTATAACTATATATATGTAGAACTTGTAGCAGTGACCGGCACAAAGAGACTTTTTAGGAAAATCTTGTTAAAATTATTTAAAAACTAGTTTTTATATGTATATGAGCGGTTTTGTTAAAGTTATAAGCACTCGTGCTAGTTACTCTCAATAACTAGCAACTATGGATGCCGATCACTTACCTAAATTGTATATCAGTCAGAAAGAGCTTACTTTAAATGAGAGCAACTTTTAGCAGACTATTGATTAGAACAAGTTGTAATGCAACATGTTTTAAAAATTTCGTGTTGTATTTGTAAAAAAGCCGATTAATGTTCGTGACCTAAGGCAATGTTTTGTAAACACTACTTTATAATGTTTTGAAATATTATTGGCAAACTAGAATTCAGAAGTTGTCTATATAAAAAACCTTGACCCATAATTAAATACAATTTGTTAAAGTCATTATACGAGAGTAAAATTTATTTGTATTCAAGAACGTAGAAAACACATACGTCATAATAAATTTAAATTGTTTTCTTTTCTAAAACCGGTTTTATTAAATTAACAATAAAATTGTTATCGGTTTTGTATGAATACAAAGTTTATAGGTATTAAATTAATATAATAACATGTTAAAATAATAAAAAAATAAAATTAATAATATAAATATAATATAAACATTGTAGAAAAAAAATTAAAATGATTTCTTAAATCTAGCTCTTTGTTATTGTTTTTGTTAATTGTTTAATCTTGGTTCAAAGTTTAGTAACTTTCAAATACACCCCCTTCTCAGCACTTAATAAAAAGTTCTTCTTATCATATTTAAGAGGAATTTGCGTCTTATCACATACCGAAAATTTGAAATTTTTCAAAAGAACCGCCAGACCTACTAAAGCCTGCATTTTACCAAAACGCATGCCTATACAAATGCGAGGACCATCACCGAAAGGCATATATAAAACTGAATCACGTTGAGCCACTTTTTCGGCCGTGAAATTATCGGGATTAAATTCATTAGGATTGGGATAGTAACGTTCATCACGATGAATGGCAGCAGCTGGTATTAGCACTAACATGCCCTTTTTGATTACAAAATTAGGATGACCCGGTACTGGATAGTCTTCTTCAGCATAGCGATTCAATATGGGTACTATAGCATGTAAACGTAAAGTTTCTGGGGGGAAAAAAGGATAACTGTAATTATTATATTTAAAAAAAAACAAATTCCAGAACTCACCTAATAAAACTTGCTCCAAATACACCATTTCCTTCATGGCTTCATAGGTAAATTCCTGATTATGTTTCTCCAAAACTTCTATAATCTCTTCTCGAGCTTTTTGCTGTATTTCCTGACGTTGAGCCAATTCATAAAGAGCAAAACCCATGGTGGTGGAAGAAGTCTCAAAACCAGCCACCAAAAATACAAAAGCCTGAGCCGCCACCTCCTCTATAGAGAGACTAGTCATCTCTTCACCCGTTTCCGATTTCATTAATTTATTATTTTTCATTTCGATCAGCATGTTCATAAAATCATTACGTTTAATATTATTTTCTTCCCGATAGCGCACCGTTTCCTTGACAATACCCATGAAAAAGTCCTCTACATCTTGCAAAGTATCTTTCATATGCAACTTTCTAGCCAAATGGGGAAAACTGTTGCGAAAAGCTATGCCTATATTGCCATAACGTTGTTCTAGCAATGATTTGCGTCCCATCATGCGGAATTTATTGTTGGGATCTTTTAAACTGCTTATCTCTAAGCCAAAGGCACAAGTGCCTATAACATCGGTGGTAAAACGAGCCATTAAATCACCCACCTCCAATATTTCACTCTCTTTTACCGCATTATCGAAAACCTTTACAAATTCTTTACTGATATCGGTTATAATGGGAAACATGATTTTCATTTTGCCCGAGGTAAAGGTAGGAGATAATTTAGTACGCATATGACGCCATTTATTACCCTCCAAATTGAATAGATTACCCGATAAGGGATCATCTTTCTCATTCACAAATATACCACGATCCACAAACTTGGAGAAATCTTTTATTAAAATCAATTTTAAAAGTGCGGGATCGAATATAAATGCTGCTGGTTTGAAAAACCAATAAAATCCCGCAAATGGTCCTGTATTTTTATATTTATCATAAAATGTCTGCCAGATTTCGGCAAAAGAACGTCTTGAGCCGGTGCCGGTTATATTGCCCAGTACAAATGTAGGCTTTTCACAGGCTATGCCCACCGATTGCCAGTAATTGTAACGCTTACGTAAGGTATAATAAATGTAAGCCAATATGGCTAATAATATGAGAATTAAAATTCCAAAAATCATTTTTTTATTTTTGTTTTTAAATAATAAGTAAATTTAATTGTTTTTTTGTTTTCTTTATTTAAATTTTTAAAAGCTTTTTTAGAATAATTGTCACGTCCACTGTTTGATATAAAACTGATCTTTTCAAATGCGTTTCAGTTTGTTTAAATAAGATCTTTGTTCCAAAAAGAAGCTTTTTTTAATAAATATTTTTCTTTATGGTGATGTGTTTGATTTTTTTGTTTATTTTTGAGAGCAATGCTTTAATCTCAAAAAAGAGCTTTTATTAATTGAAAACAAAAAATCAAGATAATTTGTGAAAAAATGTTTGCAAACAAAACATTTTCGATTAAAAAATTTTATGTTTTCCGATAGATATCTATTGCATCAGCTCTGTTGTTTAACTTAAAAACGTTTGAACCCACTTAACTCGCCCGCGATCGATAAAGTTGGTGGTTTAAAGGTTTACATTATATATTACATTATATATATCTTGTTATTCAGAACTTTCAAAATTATCTACATAAAATCTCATTGGAACATAACCAGAGCAAAACTAGATCTGATCCAGACCTTAACTAGAACTGAATTAGATCTGCGGTAAAACTGAAGTACATCTAAAGCTTAGCTCATCGTTGTTTTTTTAAGATGAAATTGTTCTTACCCTCTTCATTTACTTGACTTTTGAGATCTACTAGCAAATCCATGAGATCATAATGAGTTACAATTGCACGCATTTGGTTTTAAAAGTACGCAATGAAAAATGTTTTAAAAGAGAAACTGAGAACTGAGGGATTTGGTTATGTTTGTTTTGTTCTGCTCTTTCTGTTTAGCTAATGTATTCACGTTTAAACATGCCGTCATTTGTTTTGTTTTGATTACTCATTTCGCTTTTTATCAGACTACTGTTTTTTAACATAGAGAGAAAATTTCGAAATATCGAAACAAATGCTCAAAAGCTCGAAAGCTCAAAAAGTAAATTTTTAGAAAGAGATTGTACTTTTAGTGAAAAATAATTTTGGTGTAAAAAGTCGTATTTTTTGTAAAATAATGTATTTAGGAAAAATCATGTTTTTAGTGAAAAATTCAACTTTTAGAAAAATATAAACATTTTATATTAAAAATAATAATTTTCTAAAAATAATAATTTTCTTAAAAATTTAAATTTTTTTGTAAAATGTCGGATTTCCAATTTCAGTAAAGTAATAGATAGACTAGAACTAGCACTGAACTAGAACTGAACTAGAACTGAACTAGAACTGAACTAGAACTGAACTAGAACTGAACTAGAACTGAACTAGAACTGAACTAGAACTGAACTAGAACTGAACTAGAACTGAACTAGAACTGAACTAGAACTGAACTAGAACTGAACTAGAACTGAACTAGAACTGAACTAGAACTGAACTAGAACTGAACTAGAACTGAACTAGAACTGAACTAGAACTGAACTAGAACTGAACTAGAACTGAACTAGAACTGAACTAGAACTGAACTAGAACTGAACTAGAACTGAACTAGAACTGAACTAGAACTGAACTAGAACTGAACTAGAACTGAACTAGAACTGAACTAGAACTGAACTAGAACTGAACTAGAACTGAACTAGAACTGAACTAGAACTGAACTAGAACTGAACTAGAACTGAACTAGAACTGAACTAGAACTGAACTAGAACTGAACTAGAACTGAACTAGAACTGAACTAGAACTGAACTAGAACTGAACTAGAACTGAACTAGAACTGAACTAGAACTGAACTAGAACTGAACTAGAACTGAACTAGAACTGAACTAGAACTGAACTAGAACTGAACTAGAACTGAACTAGAACTGAACTAGAACTGAACTAGAACTGAACTGAACTAGAACTGAACTAGAACTGAACTAGAACTGAACTAGAACTGAACTAGAACTGAACTAGAACTGAACTAGAACTGAACTAGAACTGAACTAGAACTGAACTAGAACTGAACTAGAACTGAACTAGAACTGAACTAGAACTGAACTAAAACTGAACTAGAACTGAACTAGAACTGAACTAGAACTGAACTAGAATTGAACTAGAACTGAACTAAAACTGAAGTAGAACTAAACTGAATTCTTTGTTAACGAACATAAAAGAAAGTTCCCTTTTTGATATTTAATTTTAACGGTTTTAAAAGCTTATTCATTTCAAAGCTTTTAACTAAATATAGAAAGCTTTATATTAAGTTTATTCAAACGTTTAAAACTATTATCTTATAACGAAAAACAATTATTATTGAACTTGGACAAATTGGCCAACATTGAGGTTTTACTGGATGAGTTAAGTGCATTTGTCCGGGAAACATATTAGAAATATCGAAAAGTACGACTATAAAAATTTAGATAAGAAAGTAAACAATTATATAGTTATAAAATGTGGACCATTTTAACAAGCTTAATAACATAAATACCAAAATAGTAGACGTATGGGGTTTGGAATAATATTGGACCCTATAAACAGGGCGTACGCCTTAAAGTATTTTTGGCAATTTTTTAGATAACAAACCAAAAAAAAGCTTTATTATTAACAAACTATTATGGTTAACATGAAATATGCATAAATATAGAAACATTTGTTCGTCTAAGCAATTAGTTTTAATAACAACCTTAAACCAATAAGTTCTACTAAGAAATGGAAAGTTTAGCAATATCGTTTACTATCTATGGCTTTATCATCATTTTAACTTTACTGTATGGATTACTAAGATTTCATCTGCAATTTTGGCGTCGGAGAGGTATTCCTCATCGGGAACCGACCTTTCTTTTCGGCAATTTACAATGTGTACTCCAAAAGCGTCATATACGAGAGGCCTTTAGTAAAGCGTATCAGGAATTTAAAAGCACTGGGCCATTTTGCGGTTTCTTTCTCTTGATGAAACCGGCTGTAATCATTTTCGATTTGGATTTGGCCAAAAAAGTGCTTATTAAAGATTTTAATCTTTTCGAGGAACGTGGCATGTATTATAATGGTAAAGATGATCCGTTGACGGCTCATCTATTCAATGTGGAGGCAGTCGAATGGCGTAAAATGAGAAATAAATTATCACCCACTTTTACTTCGGGAAAAATGAAGCTAATGTTTCCCATAGTGGCCAAAATAGGACAAGAATGTAATCACACCTTAGAAGAAATGTTAAAAGCTGGACCTCAAATCGATGTTAAGGAACTAATGGCCCGCTATACCACCGATGTTATAGGCACCTGTGCTTTCGGTCTAGACTGCAATAGCTTAAAAAATCCCGAGGCAGAATTTCGTGTTATGAATAGAAATATTTTTACCAATTTCCGTCATAGCCGAGTGGTGCATTTATTTATGCAACTCTTGCCTCAAGTATCTAAAACATTAAGAATGAAGGAGCTACTAGATGATACACATGATTTTTATTTTAGAATTGTTAAAGATACCATGGATTACCGTGAGAAAAATCACATAAAACGTAATGATTTTATAGATTTATTAATAGAAATGAAAAATTCGGAAGACAAAGATAAACGTTTGAATATGAATGAGATTACGGCCAATGCATTTGCCTTCTTTTTGGCGGGTTTTGAAACCTCGGCCACTACCATGACTTATGCCCTATACGAAATGTCGTTGCAACCAAGAGTACAGGATAAATTAAGAAAGGAAATTTTACAAGTTTTAGAGAAAAACAATCAACAATTGACTTATGAAAGTCTTAAAGAAATGCAATATTTACATCAGGTGGTGCAAGGTATTTAAATTTAAAAATTTCCTTATAAAATCAATTTGTAATAATTTTAAATTTTCAGAAACTTTGCGCAAATATGCAGTATTCCCTTTCCTACAGCGTAAGGCTAAAATAGATTATGATACCAAAATTCCCGGTTATATTATACCCAAAGATACTCTCGCCATTATACCCATAGATGCTATACATCATGATCCCGAAATATATCCCGAACCTCAGCAATTTCGTCCAGAACGTTTCGATGCTGAAGAGGTGGCCGCTCGTCATCCCATGAGTTGGCTGCCTTTTGGTGCTGGCCCAAGAAATTGTATTGGTTTAAGATTTGGTAAAATGCAGACCTATGTGGGTTTAGTATCAGTATTAAAAGATTATAAATTCACAGTTTGTGATAAGACTCCTATACCTATAGACTTGAATGTGCAATTGCCTTTAATGACTCCTATACAGGAAGTAGTTTTAAATGTTGAAAAGATCTGTGATAAGTAGAAAAGTTATAAGCTCCTAGAATTTAGTTTTGTACGTAATTAATCTTAGTAAGTAATATTTTTTGTAATAAATATGTATATCTTTTTAATCTGGGACATTTTTTTAAGTTTGGAAACAATTTTATATTAGAACTAGAACTGAACTAGAACTAAACTAGAACTGAACTAGAACTGAACTAGAACTGAACTAGAACTGAACTAGAACTGAACTAGAACTGAACTAGAACTGAACTAGAACTGAACTAGAACTGAACTAGAACTGAACTAGAACTGAACTAGAACTGAACTAGAACTGAACTAGATAGAACTCTTCTAAAACTGAAATATTTTATTCAAATTAAAGTTTTCCTAAAAATTTAATATCGTGCTAAAAATTAAATATTTCATAAAAATTTAATTTTTGACTAAAAATTGAATTTTTTACTAAAATTAAGTTTTTTCACTAAAAATTAAGTTTTTTCACTAAAAATTCAATTTTTCATTAAAAATTTGATTTTTTATTAAAAATTTAATTTTTTATTAAAAATTCTATTATTCACTAAAAATTCAAATTTTCACTAGAAATTCAATTTTTTACTAAAAATTTAATTTCTCACAAAAATTTTTTTTTTTTTTTTTTGCTAAAAATTAAATTTTTTGTTAAATTTAAAAATTTCACACAAACTAAAATTTTACTTTGAATTGATTTTTTTAATAAAGTTAAATTTTCTCCGGTATCGTCAAAAAAGTACCAAAAGTGCTTTAATTTCCAGTCCATTTTTTCCTGCTCTACAATATCTTACAATTTGTTTTCTGAGAGCAATGACTAACATATAATATTAAAGAGTAAAGAGAATATTTCAAAAATGTTTATTTATTAAAAAAAAACTAAAAATGTTTATCCAAATTTCGAGTAAAATAGGTATGAACAGTTAGTTGCATTTCAATAGTGGTCGTAGACTGTACAAAAGATAATTAAATAAAAGTTATAGAAGTATTTTAACAATTTTTGTTAAAATGTTAATATTCATAGCTTTATGCGTTATAATATTTTTTTGGTTAAAAGAACATTATTCATATTGGGAGAAACGCCATGTTCCTCACGAAAAACCCACATATTTTGTAGGTAATATGCGAGGCATAGGAAGGGAATACCACTGGAAAGATATAAATCAACGTATTTATAAGAAATTTAAAGGAGTTACTCCCGTGGCCGGTTTTTATACATTTCTTACAAGAGCTGCCTTTATTTTAGATTTGGATTTGATTAAACAAATAATGATCAAAGATTTCCAAAACTTTAGCGAAAGAAATTTGTTTCACAATGAACGTGATGATCCTTTAACGGGCAATCTGCTATTTTTGGATGGTGAAAAGTGGCGGGTGTTGAGACATAAACTATCCCCGGTTTTCACTACTGGAAAAATGAGGTTTATGTTTCCCACGGTGGTTAAAGTGGGAGAGAAATTACCCTCAGCCTGTGAGAAATTTATAGAGGTATATGAGGGCTTAGTAGAGGCCAAAGATTTGTGTGCCCGCTATACCACCGATGTTATAGGTACTTGTGCTTTTGGTATTGAATGCAATAGCTTAATAGATCCTCAAGCGGAATTTAGACAAATGGGTAGATATATATTCGAGAAACCACGCCATAAGGGTGTCATACAGGCATTTATGTTTACTAATCCCGCACTGGCTAGAAAACTGAGAATGAAAACATTTCGTGATGATGTCAGTGATTTCTTTATGAAGGTGGTCAAAGAGACTGTGGACTATAGACAAAAGAATCATGTCAAACGTAATGATTTTTTGGATATGTTAATAGAAATGAAAAGGCAGCGTGATGATTTAATCGAATCGGGACAAAAAGTGGATGAAAATGATTTGACAAGTGGTTTGAACATAGAACAATTGGCCGCCCAGGCTATGGTATTCTTTTTAGCCGGTTTCGATACTTCCTCCACCACCATGTCTTTCTGTTTATATGAACTGGCTCTCAATCAGGAAGTACAAGATAAATTAAGGAAAGAAATTTTGGAAGTATTGGCCCAACATGATAATCAAATAACCTATGAAAGTATTAAGGAAATGAAGTACTTAGATATGGTAATAGCAGGTAAATTTTAAGAAAAATTCAAATTTAAACATATACTTAATCAAGGTTTTTTCTTAATTTTTTAGAAACTTTACGCAAATACTCGGTTACTCCACATTTAGTGCGAAAATGTGTTAAGGATTTCCAAATACCCAATACCGATTTAGTATTACAAAAGGGTCTACGGGTTATTATACCCTTAGATAGTATACACAATGATCCTGATTACTATCCAGAACCGGAGAAATTCAAACCAGAACGTTTCCTACCCGAAGAAGTACAAAATAGACATCCCTGCGCTTATATGCCTTTCGGCGATGGTCCACGCAATTGTATTGGTATGCGTTTTGGTAAAATGCAAGCCCAAATTGGTTTAGTGTCCCTCTTGACAAAATTTCGTTTTGATAAATGTGAACGTACACAAATACCGTTACACTTTTCTAAGTTAAATTTTCTAATTGGCACCGAAAGTGGCATACACTTAAAGGTGGAAAAGTTATAAATGGGTTTTTAAAACCTTCACAACTGATAAGTGCATGTTTTACTAAGACTTGTTATCAGAAATATTTCATTAACAAAGAGTTTTCATTTAACTATTTACGAAAATTTAATTAGAAAAAAAAACGTATTTATTAATTTGTTATTAATTGTTGTTAAATTTGTATATATGTAGGTCTATTTATGCTGATTAATGAAATAAAATGCATTTTATTTCCAGATAAGTACTTTTAACTTATATCTAAGTTGACACTGCCTAACTGACTATGTTTTCTTACTATACTATAATGGTTTGTCATGAGACTCTCTCTTTCTCTCACTTTACATTTTTATCACATTTTCGAAAAAATTTATATTAATAGGTAAAAACATACAACCATTAATAGCATTGATTTATTTGATTAGTTTTTAATGAAAAAAGCTTTTTAAAATAATAGTCCAACTCACAGATCAGCAATTTTAGATCCAGCCGATCTTACCCTATTGAAATACATGCTAATACCGGTCTAGTTCAGTTGTAGTCCAGTTCTAGTTCAATTCTAGTTCAGTTCTAGTTCAGTTCTAGTTCAGTTCTAGTTCAGTTCTAGTTCAGTTCTAGTTCAGTTCTAGTTCAGTTCTAGTTCAGTTCTAGTTCAGTTCTAGTTCAGTTCTAGTTCAGTTCTAGTTCAGTTCTAGTTCAGTTCTAGTTCAGTTCTAGTTCAGTTCTAGTTCAGTTCTAGTTCAGTTCTAGTTCAGTTCTAGTTCAGTTCTAGTTCAGTTCTAGTTCAGTTCTAGTTCAGTTCTAGTTCAGTTCTAGTTCAGTTCTAGTTCAGTTCTAGTTCAGTTCTAGTTCAGTTCTAGTTCAGTTCTAGTTCAGTTCTAGTTCAGTTCTAGTTCAGTTCTAGTTCAGTTCTAGTTCAGTTCTAGTTTTCTAGTTCAGTTCTAGTTCAGTTCTAGTTCAGTTCTAGTTCAGTTCTAGTTCAGTTCTAGTTCAGTTCTAGTTCAGTTCTAGTTCAGTTCTAGTTCAGTTTAGTTCAGTTTTAGTTCAGTTCTAGTTCAGTTCTAGTTCAGTTCTAGTTCAGTTCTAGTTCAGTTCTAGTTCAGTTCTAGTTCAGTTCTAGTTCAGTTCTAGTTCAGTTCTAGTTCAGTTCTAGTTCAGTTCTAGTTCAGTTTAGTTCAGTTCTAGTTCAGTTCTAGTTCAGTTCTAGTTCAGTTCTAGTTCAGTTCTAGTTCAGTTCTAGTTCAGTTCTAGTTCAGTTCTAGTTCAGTTCTAGTTCAGTTCTAGTTCAGTTCTAGTTCAGTTCTAGTTCAGTTCTAGTTCAGTTCTAGTTCAGTTCTAGTTCAGTTCTAGTTCAGTTCTAGTTCAGTTCTAGTTCAGTTCTAGTTCAGTTCTAGTTCAGTTCTAGTTCAGTTCTAGTTCAGTTCTAGTTCAGTTCTAGTTCAGTTCTAGTTCAGTTTAGTTCAGTTCTAGTTCATTTAGTTCAGTTCTAGTTCAGTTCTAGTTCAGTTCTAGTTCAGTTCTAGTTCAGTTCTAGTTCAGTTCTAGTTCAGTTCTAGTTCAGTTCTAGTTCAGTTCTAGTTCAGTTCTAGTTCAGTTCTAGTTCAGTTCTAGTTCAGTTCTAGTTCAGTTCTAGTTCAGTTCTAGTTCTAGTTCAGTTCTAGTTCAGTTCTAGTTCAGTTCTAGTTCAGTTCTAGTTCAGTTCTAGTTCAGTTCTAGTTCAGTTCTAGTTCTAGTTCAGTTCTAGATCAGTTTGGTACTATGTAGTTCAAATCGATTTTTTATGAAATTTTTTCTGTGCGTTGCACTATTATATTTGAAAAGCTTTTTTGTTTTTTTCATTAATAACAAAGAAAACGATGATCATAGGTTAACACCTCTTAACTAACAATTTTTCAAACAGTATAATGATGCCAAACAGTGTGAAAATTTAAGGAGATCCATGATTTCATACTGGAAAACATCATTATCTCATATTGGAAAAACATTATCAGTTAATAGGTGACAACTTGTTACTTTTTTATATACATATAATAAACAAAGTCTTCTGAAAATAAAATACGTTTTTTTATTTTTATTCAGAATAATAAGTACTTAAAGCTTTAAATGATCAGTATTCAACATGCATTTCTATAATTTACAATACATTAAAAATTAAATGAATTTCCAAAAATTAAATATTTGTTCATGAAATATTTATGACATAATGCTTTCGACGGGGGTTTTTATAACTCCATTTATAACTTTTCTACTTTTAAGTGTATGCCACTTTCGGAGCCAATTAGAAAATTTAACTTAGAAATACGTATGGGTATCTGTGTTCTTTCACATTTATCGAAACGAAATTTTGTCAAGAGCGACACCAAACCAATTTGTATTTGCATTTTACCAAAACGCATACCAATACAAATTCGTGGACCATCGGCAAAAGGTATATAAGCACAAGGATGTCCCTTTTGTACCTCGTCGGGAAGGAAACGTTCTGGTTTGAATTTCTCTGGTTCTGGAAAATAATCAGGATCATTTTGTATGCTATCCAAAGGTATAATAATGCGTAAACCTTTTTCCAATACTATATTGCTATTGGGTACTGGAAAATCTTTCGTGCAGGTGCGCACTAAATGAGGAACAACCGAATATTTGCGCAAAGTTTCTAAAAGGATAAAATCATTAAGTTAATAGAATTAAAAATGCAGGTTTATTGCAAAATTTTACCTGATACCACCATATCTAAGTATTTCATTTCCTTGAGACTCTCATAGGTTATTTGATTATCATGTTGGGCCAAAACATCCAAAATTTCTTTCCTTAATTTATTTTGCACCTCCTGGTTAAGAGCCAGTTCATATAAACAAAAAGACATGGTGGTGGAAGAGGTATCAAAACCGGCTATATAGAATACCACAACCTGGGCAGCCAACTGTTCTATATTCAAACCACTTGCCAAATCATTTTCATCTACTTTTTGCCCCGATTCTGTTAAATCATCACGTTGCTTTTTCATTTCTATTAACATATCCAAAAAATCATTACGTTTGACATGATTCTTTTGTCTATAGTCCACAGTCTCTTTAACCACCTTCATAAAGAAATCACTAACATCATCACGAAAATTTTTCATTCTCAATTTCCTGGACAAAGCGGGATTGGTAAACATAAATGACTGCATTAAACCCTTGTGGCGTGGTTTCTCAAACATTAATCTTCCCATTTTTCTAAATTCCGCTTGAGGATCTTCTAAACTATTGCATTCAATACCAAAAGCACAAGTGCCTATAACATCGGTAGTATAGCGGGCACACAAATCTTTGGCCTCCACTATGCCTTCACATTCTTCTAAAAATTTCTCACAGGCTGAAGGTAATTTCTCTCCCACTTTAACCACCGTGGGAAACATAAATTTCATTTTGCCTGTGGTGAAAACCGGGGATAACTTATGTCTCAATACTCGCCACTTTTCACCATCCAAAAAGAATAGATTTCCCGTTAAAGGATCATCACGTTCATTATGAAACAAATTTTTCGCACTGAAACTAGGAAAATCTTTAATCAGTATAAGTTTAATCAAATCCAAATCGTAAACCGTGGCAGCTCTTGTAAAAAATGTATAAAAACCGGCCACTGGGGTCACATTTTTAAACTTATTATAAATACGTTGATGTATATCTTTCCAATGATATTCTCGTCCTATACCCTTCATGTTACCGTAAAAATATGCTGGTTTTTCGTGAGGCACATTACGTTTCTCCCAATATGAATAATGTTCTCTTAACCAAATATATATAATCGCAATTAAAGCTATTACTATTAACATTTTAATTAAAATCAATGAAATCTTTATTTATAGTTTTTTAATTTAACTTTTGCAGAGTCTTCGACCACTATTGAAATGCAACTGCTGATAAGAATTCAAATTGAAACGCGTGCAAATGCTTTCGTTTGAAATATAAATGCAAAAATCGTAAAGTTGCATTTATTCTCTGTACACTTTAGTATTTTGCTAGTCATTATTCTCAGAAAAAGCTGTTAGATATTGTGGAACAGGGAAAAATAGCCTGGTACTTTTAGTACTTTTTTGCTATTTAAGGGATCATCTCTAGTAACTATTGGGGTTTTAATAACAATGTGTTAATAAAACAAATAAATAGTTATAATTTTCTTTAAATGTTTTCTTCTTATTCACACTTTCATAGTAAATTCTTCTTTGTTTTAAGTACTTTTTCAAGTTATAGATTCATAAAGGCACTAGCCCAACATTTAAGCAAACCTGTTGCGAACCACTCAATTCTGCATTTACACAGTAAGCAAGTACAGTCAAAATACAACTATAAAGTTCAAGAATAACTAATGGGTAAATACAAAAATGATTCACATTGTACATAAATGTCTTTATTTTGAAACCACACAGAATTGTCAGACCCCTTCCCTTCGTAATAAACAGTCTAAGAGGAGACCCTGCGAATGTACTTGACTGTTTGCGCAGCAAACTACCACTTTAACCTGACATGTCTAAAGTCTAGTCAATGGTCTGGTATATAGTCTAGTCTACATTCTAGTCTACAGTCTAGTATACAGTCTAGTTTACAGTCTAGTCTATAGTCTAGTCTATAGTCTAGTCTATAGTCTAGTCTATAGTCTAGTCTATAGTCTAGTCTATAGTCTAGTCTATAGTCTAGTCTATAGTCTAGTCTATAGTCTAGTCTATAGTCTAGTCTATAGTCTAGTCTATAGCCTAGTCTAGTCTATAGACTAGTCTATAGTCTAGTCTATAGCCTAGTCTAGTCTATAGACTAGTCTATAGTCTAGTCTATAGCCTAGTCTAGTCTATAGACTAGTCTATAGTCTAGTCTATAGTCTAGTCTATAGTCTAGTCTATAGTCTAGTCTATAGTCTAGTCTATAGTCTAGTCTATAGTCTAGTCTATAGTCTAGTCTATAGTCTAGTCTATAGTCTAGTCTATAGTCTAGTCTATAGTCTAGTCTATAGTCTAGTCTATAGTCTAGTCTATAGTCTAGTCTATAGTCTAGTCTATAGTCTAGTCTTAGTCTAGTCTATAGTCTAGTCTATAGTCTAGTCTATAGTCTAGTCTATAGTCTAGTCTATAGTCTAGTCTATAGTCTAGTCTATAGTCTAGTCTATAGTCTAGTCTATAGTCTAGTCTATAGTCTAGTCTATAGTCTAGTCTATATTCTAGTCTATAGTCTAGTCTATAGTCTAGTCTAGTCTAAAGTCTAGTCTATAGTCTAGTCTATAGTCTAGTCTATAGTCTAGTCTATAGTCTAGTCTATAGTCTAGTCTATAGTCTAGTCTGTAGTCTAGTCTATAGTCTAGTCTATAGTCTAGTCTATAGTCTAGTCTATAGTCTAGTCTATAGTCTAGTCTAGAGTCTAGTCTATAGTCTAGTCTATAGTCTAGTCTATAGTCTAGTCTAGAGTCTAATCTATAGTCTAGTCTATAGTCTAGTCTATAGTCTAGTCTATAGTCTAGTCTATAGTCTAGTCTATAGTCTAGTTTATAGTATAGTCTATAGTCTAGTCTATAGTCTAGTATAAAGTGTAGTCTATTGTCTAGTCTATAATTTAGTCTATAGTCCAGTCAATAATCTAATATATATTCTAGTCTATGGTTTAGTCTATATTCTACTCTATGGCCTAGGCTACAGTCTAGCCTATTGTCAAGTATATAGTATTGCCTGATTAACAGTTTATAGGGTGTAATTATTTGGACTTACTCATTTACTCTCTTAGTTGTTTTAAGTTTTTACTCTTTATTTACTTTAAAAAACAAAATAAACTTTGAGAATAAGAATTGAAAAATTTTGCAAATACAAAAAAGCTTTTTATGAGCAAATATTAGGATTACCATTTTTCAGTTTTTAATTCCGCCAAGTATTTAAAAATCTCACAGATTGTTTAACATTTGAAATGTCAAATGTTTATGTTTTGGTTCTCATTCCAAATAACTGCAAAATAATGGGTTGTGAAAATTTTGAATATTTAATTTTATAATTGGTTACTTTTTAAATACCTTTCATACCCTTTCCACTTTTAAGTAGATACCACTCTTAACATTAAACACCCTTACATTAAGAGCATCAAAATCCAATTCCTTTGGGGTCCTCGGGCAAATTGAAAACTTAAAATTCTTTAACAATAAAGCCACTCCAATCATTGCTTGCATCATGCCAAAACGTTCAGCAATACAAGTGCGTGGTCCGGCACCAAATGGTAAATAAGCCATTGAATGTATCTGATCCCGTAAAGAAGTGGCAAATCTTTCAGGTTGAAACCTTTCTGGATCTGGATAATAATCTGGATCATGATGTATGGCATAAACAGGTATAATAATTTGCACACCAGGTTGTATAGTTATAGCTTTTGGTCCATCTAAGGTGTATGTGGAGCGACACACTCGTCGGCCTGTGGGGGCCACAGGATGTTTACGCAGGGTTTCTGAAAGAAGAATATTTTCAATAAAAGTTTGACTTGTTTCTAATAATAATGAACTTACCTTGTACTACCTGTTTAATGTAGTTCATTTCATTTAAACTTTCATAACTATATTCACCCTCGAATTTTTCCAACACTTGGCTAACATTCTCTCTTGCCTTTTGCTGAACATCAGGATTCAAAGCCATTTCATAAAGAGCAAATGACATGGTACTAGAACTGGTCTCAAAACCTCCTATGAAAAATACATAAGCCTGAGCGATGACATCCTCCATTTGCAAACAGAAATCGTCTGAATCCTCTTTCTTATTCTTCAACTCAATTAAAATATCAAGAAAATCATTACGTTTTATTTGATCTTTCTCCCGCATTTCCACATTTTGACGAACAATTTGTGAATAAAACTCAATTAGTTCTTGGGTAAAAACTTTAAAGCCCAATTTATGGAAAAATTTGGGATATGAAGAAGCCAAAGCATCCATGAGAGGATGTATAGTATAGAACGCCTTATCGCCCTTAATACGAAACTCTGTTAGGGGATCTTTTAAACTGTTGCACTCTAAACCAAAGGCCACACTGCCTATAACATCGGTGGTAAAACGGGCACATAGATCTCGCATTTCTACTACCGCCTCGTGATTCTCTAACTGATCATTTATTGTCTCTATAAAACGCTCGCCAATAGCAGACACAGTGGGAAACATCATCTTCATTTTGCCTGAAGTAAAAGTGGGTGTTAGTTTTTGTCGCATTTTCTTCCACATATCACCACTTAAACGTACCAGATTTGTAGACAAAGGATCATGATGGGGATTTGAATAGAAACCTCTATCGGGAAATGTTTCAAAGTCCGTTATTAATATCGCCTTAATCAAATCAAGATCTTTGACTATTAAAGCTGGTGTTATAAAATTATATACCCCTATGTACGCTTTATTATTCACTTTCATTCTCTTATAGATGTCTTGTATGATAAAGGCAACATGTTTACGATTTTTTCCATAGAAAGTTTTAAAACTGGCAGTTTCCACTTTTTGTCTTTTCCAGTAATTGTGTTTATTTCTTAACCACATATAGATAACTGTGATTAAAAGAATTAAAATTGCGAAAAATATTTTCATACTGATGGCTCTGAAGTTGTGTATAGTCTAAAGTTGTGTATAATACTAATCTAGTTATTTGGAACAATTCGCTTAAGATGTTTTCCATATAGATAACATACAAATTGTGGGTATGCATTATTGAAAGAGGAATTACTCTTATGTCTGTAAATGAATTTGCATCAGTGGTAGGCTCAAAGAGAATAAACTGCACTAACTTTGTACAAAATATGAAATTTAACTAAAACCTTAACCATCTAATTCATAAACGCAATTTCATTTTATAAACGATTTATAAATCAAATTTCGTATGGAAATTTTGTTTTATAAGCCTTTTATAAAATAAAATGTTGTTTATGAAAAAGGGGGTAAAAGGTGTATGACAACCTAAACACATTTTCAAATTGTATCGTTCGGTTCCTGCTAGATGTTGGTGTCGACCACTGCTTGAATTTATTGCATGTATTTAATGACTTTCAGTTTCAAATGCACAAAGAAACCTCAGCAGTCCTCTCTTCTTTGTTGGTGAATACATTTTCTGTGGCACTCTTTATATTCCTCTTTCCAAGTTGAAGGCAGAAGAAAATGTGCAAAATTTTTGTGATAGCTTTTGCCTCTGTAACCACGGTTCAAGGGTATAACGAACAGTCTGATTGGCTGGACTATAATTAAACTATGGGTAGACAACTTTAGACTATAGAACAGACTATACATACATATATAGACTAGACTACGGACTAGACCATAGACTAGACTATACACTAGACTATAGACTAGACTATAGACTAGACTATAGACTAGACTATATACTAGACTATGGACTAGACTAGACTATAGACTAGACTATATACTAGATTATGGACTAGACTAGACTATAGACTAGACTAGACTATATACTAGACTATGGACTAGACTAGACTATAGACTAGACTATAGACTAGACTATAGACTAGACTATAGACTAGATTATAGACTAGACTATAGACCAGACTATAGACTAGACTATAGACTAGACTATAGACTAGACTATAGGCTAGACTATAGACCAGACTATAGACTAGACTATAGACTAGACTATAGACTAGACTATAGACTAGACTATAGACTAGACTATAGACTAGACTATAGACTAGACTATAGACTAGACTATAGACTAGACTATAGACTAGACTAAAGACTAGACTATAGACTAGACTATAGACTAGACTATAGACTAGACTAGACTAGACTATAGACTAGACTAGACTAGACTAGACTAGACTAGACTAGACTAGACTAGACTAGACTAGACTAGACTAGACTATAGACTAGACTATAGACTAGACTATAGACTAGACTATAGACTAGACTATAGACTAGACTATAGACTAGACTATAGACTAGACTATAGACTAGACTATAGACTAGACTATAGACTAGACTATAGACTAGACTATAGACTAGACTATAGACTAGACTATAGACTAGACTATAGACTAGACTATAGACTAGACTATAGACTAGACTATAGACTAGACTATAGACTAGACTATAGACTAGACTATAGACTAGACTATAGACTAGACTATAGACTAGACTATAGACTAGACTATAGACTAGACTATAGACTAGACTATAGACTAGACTATAGACTAGACTATAGACTAGACTATAGACTAGACTATAGACTAGACTATAGACTAGACTATAGACTAGACTATAGACTAGACTATAGACTAGACTATAGACTAGACTATAGACTAGACTATAGACTAGACTATAGACTAGACTATAGACTAGACTATAGACTAGACTATAGACTAGACTATAGACTAGACTATAGACTAGACTATAGACTAGACTATAGACTAGACTATAGACTAGACTAGACTAGACTATAGACTAGACTATAGACTAGACTATAGACTAGACTATAGACTAGACTAGACTATAGACTAGACTATAGACTAGACTATAGACTAGACTATAGACTAGACTAGACTATAGACTAGACTATAGACTAGACTATAGACTAGACTAGACTAGACTATAGACTAGACTAGACTAGACTATAGACTAGACTAGACTATAGACTAGACTAGACTATAGACTAGACTAGACTATAGACTAGACTAGACTATAGGCTAGACTAGACTATAGACTAGACTAGACTATAGACTAGACAATAGACTAGACTAGACTAGACTAGACAATAGACTAGACTAGACTAGACTAGACTAGACTATAGACTAGACTATAGACTAGACTATAGACTAGACTATAGACTAGACTATAGACTAGACTATAGACTAGACTATAGACTAGACTAGACTATAGACTAGACTATAGACTAGACTATAGACTAGACTATAGACTAGACTATAGACTAGACTATAGACTAGACTATAGACTAAACTATAGACTAGACTATAGACTAAACTATAGACTAGACTATAGACTAGACTATAGACTAGACTATAGACTAGACTATAGACTAGACTATAGACTAGACTGTAGACTAGACTATAGACTAAACTATAGACTAGACTATAGACTAGACTATAGACTAACCTATATACTAGACTATAGACTAGACTATAGACTAGACTATAGACTAGACTATAGACTAAACTATAGACTAGACTATAGACTAGACTATAGACTAGACTACAGACTCGACTATAGACTAAACTATATACTAGACAATAGAATATGCTAGACTGTTGACTAGTCTATTATTTACCTTCATTTCTAGTAGAGTACATATGTAACTACTTAAGATCTTATTAAGAACTTTATACCTTGTTCTATGCAAACCACATATTAACATCAACTGCTCTTAGTAATCCCAATTAAAGTGAGAGGAATATCAAATCCAACTTAAATTTCTCAGTTATATTCTCCCTCTCTATCTACGACTCTCTGGATTAACTTATTACTCGAAAATTATAAATAATTATTATACAAGTAATTCATTTCTCTCAGTGTTAAAGTACTCCCCAAAATAACACACTGACTTACATACATACACCTGAATATAACAATAGTATCTGAGAGATGACGAAGTCAATATTTATTTGTTTGTTTATTTATTTACTTATTAGTTCTATATCCGAACTACCCTCTTACACTCGTATTGTCCAAAAAAAAAGTGGAAAAATAAAAAAAGAGTTAATGAAACGCTTTTTATGGATTGATAACGTCCATAATAAAACAACACACAACAAAAAAACTCTCAAATATCGCTGCAAAAGCAATTGATAACCAAAAAAGCAAAAATTCTATTAAAAAAGTTTTAAAAATTAACTACAACCGCGATGAGTTCACTCTACTCAGAGTTTATAGAGCAGTTAAGTAAAATAAGTGTAATCGTACGAACGAACATAGAAATTATACAAAATGTTTTTTTATTTAATTCGCCACTAAATAACAATTAAAAAAAAACAACAATTAAACTTGAATAATTAAACAAATAAAATGAAAATTGTCTAAACGTAAATGGAAAATAGTGTTTAAATACAAATAACAGATGAAACAGAGTTTAAAATGTGGATAATTTTTTTAATATTGGGTTTAATCATCTTTCTTTTGATTACCCTGTGCGGTATTGGCCTAAAGTATATACGCGATTATTGGCATTTCCTGGGAGTGCCTCATGATCATCCCAAACCTTTAGTGGATATTATTAAGACCTTGAGTAAATATGGCACCTGTAAACAGTTGATGGAACAGCATGAGTATTTTCAAAAACTCTACAAAAGATTCAAGGGCACTGGACCCTATTGTGGTTTCTATCATTTGCTGGAACCGCGTGTTTTGGTATTGGATCAAGAGTTAATGCAGCAGATATTGGTAAAGAACTTTTCCAACTTTAATGATCGTGGTTGTTATCATAATATGAAAAATGATCCCCTATCGGCGGACTTGTATAGTTTGAGTGGAGAGCATTGGAAAGAGATGCGTTTGAAATTAGAGCCAGTTTTTCAAAAAGCTTATATGAAAGCTTTTCACGAGAGCATACGCGAAGAGTGTGAAAAAACGCTCTTATTGTTTGAGCTAAAAATGCAAGAAGAGGGTCAGCGTTGTGGACAAAGAGAAGTAGTCTTGGATGTGCAACCTTTAATGCATCGTTTTGTTTTGGGCAATATAGCCAAAATGGTATTTGGCTTGACACAAGCCATGCAGCAGAAATATCCTCTAGATGAATTTGATGCCATGACCCAATTTGCCTTGCACACCCACAAACATGGCACCTTCCTAACCACCATCATGCAGCGTTATCCCAATCTATTTCGTTCTTTAAAATTCTCTACCACCAAGAAAAAGGTACAAACTTATTTCCTATCTTTACTCAATGATGTCATTAACCATCGCGATAAATGTGGTGACTATAAAGATGACTATTTACAATTACTCATTAATATTATGAACCAAGAAATGAGCACCCACGAAACGGAAGTACATGCAGATCCCAAAGAATTAAGAGATCATTTAGTGGATGAGTTGGCGGCTCATGCATTTACATTTTTACGTGCGGGCCTAGAGCCCACTACGAAAACTTTAACTTATGCTTTATATGAATTGGCCAGAGATCCTGTTATGCAGCAGAGGGTGAGAGAAGAGGTTTTGAAGGCTTATGAGGAAAATGATGAACGTTTTAATTATGAATGCATACATTCCTTAAAGTTTATGGGACAAATTATATCGGGTAAGGGGGAAGATTTAGTCACAGAATGAATGAATAACTCTTCATTTATAAAATATAATGTACAATATATATATCTCAAGTTATATAAAATCTTCAAAAATACCTCCTTTACAAATCGAAAATAACCTTTACATCTGTTTTTTATCTCTTTTCAGAAACCCTACGCCTTCATCCGGTCATCCCCTACATTATGCGTCGTGCCCTCAACGACTATCAGTGTACCGATCATCCTCAATATCTGATACGCAAAGACATGTACGTCATTGTACCCACCCATGCCATACACAATGATCCAGCTCTCTATACCCAACCACATTCCTTCAATCCCGACCGTTTCTCCGCTCAGGACAATAAACGACGACAATCTTGCCTTTGGCTGGGTTTCGGAGAAGGACCTCGCAACTGTCTGGGTCTACATTTTGCCCAGCTACAAATGCGTTTGATATTGGCGCAGCTATTGCATAAATATGAATTTACTTTGGACACGCAGCACTTGGTGGTATGCTGTCAAGAGGGAGTGGCGTTGAGAGTGAAACCTCTCCATGAGAGATTTGAATATGTAGAGTATGAGGGTAGAGAATCAGCTGTGGAAATATAGTCAATTCTGTAATTAGTTAAATATAACAAATGTTTAAGTTTTATTTTTGATTTAAAATAATTATTCAGTTCTTTATTAAAGAACTTTGCTTTAAAACAGTATTTAATTGAAGTTATTTTATTGTTTGTTATTTATTATTAATGTATATTAGAATTGTTTTGCGTATGTAAATAAATTATTTTTGTTGGTTAGTGTAAATATTAAAAAAAACCTTAATTGTTTTCTTTTATACATGACAAATTATAAAAAGTGTAAAAAGTTAAAAAGTAAGTAAGAAAAAGGTTAATTTTCAATAATATGTAGTCTGGCAACGCTGTTTTATAAATACAGTTTGTAACTTAAATCCACACCTTTCATTTGACTCTAATTTCATTCATAATACTTAAGTACTTACAAAGTTATAGACTTTCAAAGATAGTTACTAAAATACCACAATTGTGTACACATTGGCAACTCTGGTTAAATAATTTTTATACTAAACAGATAGAGAAATTCATACCCTAGCGATTGCAACAATTTTCAAAACAATCGGTTAAGTATTTTGAAAGTTATAGCCATTTCAAAAATACCTCAATTTATTTAATTTTCTAAAGGCTGGCAACCCTGTCACTGCAATCACTACTTTATAGTTAACTAGAGTAAATTATAAGCTAGCGATTGCTACCAGTTTCAAGCAAATCGATTAAGTATTTTCAGAGTTATAGCAATTTTAAAAATCCCTTAATTTACCCAATTTCCTAAAAATTGGCAACCCTGTTACTACATGGTGTCAGCGCCATCTATTATCTGGGTACATTGTTTTTCTGCAAGTGAAAAAATGAGGGAAAAACAGACAAATTTTCAAAACGCTATAACTTAGAAACTACTTAACCGATTTCAATAAATTTAATATGATCTGATAGGAGATAAATTCAAAATTCTAAAACTTAATTTTCCAGAGTTGCCAGATTGCTAGTTTTGTTATATTTTAAAGAGAATGAAACACTATTTTCAATTGCTATAACTTTGCTATTTTTTGATTGTAACTTTTAAAATTACAGTTTCTAAAGAGCAGAAGATTCAAGCTAAACAACACAATTTAGATTTCCAGGGTTGCCGTGCGCTTTCACTTCGAAAGTGCAAAATTTCGAAAATTGTTTTTTCCCAAGAAGTACAAAAGAGGCACAAAAAGACAAATTTTCAAAACAGCATAACTTTAAATGTACTAAACCGATTTCGATAAAGTTTATACAGTCTAATAGAGAATACAATTTAGATTTCAAAAATGTATTTTGCCAGAGTTGCCAGATTGCTAGTTTTGTTGTATATTATATATATAAAGAATAATACTTCAAATTGCTATAACTTAACAATTAGTTGATTCTACCTTTTAAAATTATTGCTTTTCAAGGTCAGAGGAATCAAAGAAAACCAAAAAGTTTAGATTACCAGAGTTGCCAACAGGTTACATGAATAAAAACTAAATTTCTAAAATTTCTAAAAAAAATGCTAAATATTTTCAATTGAAGACAAGATTTTAGTTTTAATTAGTTATTTTGATTAAATTATTACAAAATTGTATTTAACAGAGTTACCAGATTGCTTAAGGTCACTTTTGAAGAAAATTTTAAGCCGGCTGTTGTTTTTTAAGGTCTAAAGTTGAAATTTTTTAATTAAATCCTTCTTATTAAGACAAATCTAAAAAATCAGTTTTTTTCTATAAATAACTTGGCAACTCTGCCGGGAAAATATTTGACAGTTAAGTACGGAATCTTAGCTAATCAAAGCAATCATTAGAAAATCTTTATCTATTTACCTTTAAATGTTTAGCCTTGAAACGTAAGCGTTATTTATTTAACAATAAAATCAAAAATACCACTCTGGCAACTCTGGTGAAATAAATTTTATACAACTACAATTTATGGCCTACAATATGATATATATCTCAACAAAATCGGTTCAGTAGTTTTTAAGTTATAGCGTTTTGAAAAATTGTCTCTAACGACCCTATTTTTTCGTTTGCCGAAAAACAATGTACCCCAACAATAGATGGCGCTATACCGATGTCGTGACAGGGTTGCCACATTTTGAAAAATTTAACAAAATAAGGTATTTTTAAAATTGTTATAACTCCGGAAATACTTAACCGATTTGCTTGAAACTAGAGTCAAACGCTAGCTAATAATTTAGGCCATTCGTTTTATGTAAAAATTATTCTACCAGTGTTGCCAGACTTTACAAATTTGTGCAAATTTATTAAAATTTTTTTAAATTGCTATAACTTTGGAACTACTTAAGCAATTAGCTTGAACTTGATGTCAAACGCTAGATAATGATTTTGTCTATTTGTTGTATGAAATAATTGTTTTACCAGTGTTGCCGTATTTCACAAATTTGTTATATTATTAACCAATTAAGTTATTTTTTGCAATGGTATAACTTCGAAGCCATTTAACCGTTCAGCTTGAAACTACATTCAAATATTAGAGAATATTTTGGGCTAATTGTTTTTTCTAAAAATGGTATTACCAATGTTGCCAGATTTTATAAATATGTTACATTAAAATAACTCTTTTAAATTGCAATAATTTTGATACTACTAAAGAAATTTGCTTAAAACTAACTTCAAACAATAGGTAATATTTTAGGATACTGGTTTTATGCAAACTTTGTCTAACCAGTGTTGCCTTACTTTAGAATTTTGTACTATTATTAACAAAATAAAGTATTTTAATAATTGTTATAACTCGGAAGGTATTTAACTGTTTTGCTTGTTATAACTTTGGAAATACTTAACTAATTTGCATGAAACTAAAGTCCAACGCTAGCTAATAATTTAAGCCATTTGTTTTATGTAAAAATTATTTTATTAGTGTTGCCAGACTTTACAAATTTCTTAAAATTTATAAACTTCTTTAAATTTGCTATAAACTTGGAACTATCCAAGCGATTTGCTTAAAATTTATAAACCGGAAGGTCCGGATGCATGGGGGCTAGGGCAAATTAGTGGGATTTATATTTATGTAATAGTTTTTTTTACCGATACTAGAACATTTAACATAATTATGAGGACAAAAGCCATATTCGGTGGGTATGGTTGTATGGGGCTAGGTGAAATAATGGACCGATTTCAACCATTTTCAATTGCGTTTGTCCTTGGACCAAAAGAAGCGTTCATGCCAAATTTCAGAAAGTGATTCTTAGCCGATTTGTATGCCTTAAGGTGGGTGTGACACCAATATTTTTGGATATTACAAACATCAGCACAAACTCATCAACCCTACAGGTATAACTAGTTGATAGCTTAATTTAATAAAATAATTAAGTTTATTTTCTGTTAATTAATTAAATAAAACTATAAATATAATGTTATTGTTAATATTAATTACAAATGCATAAGTATTAAGTTTATATATTAAATAAAGGAAAATGATAGAATTAAATATCAGAATGAAAAGAGTTTAATTCTTGGAAAATCTAAATATTCAGAGGTAAGTTGAAAAGTGCGTTACTCCAGGTTTCTAAGCTTCATTAGATATGGTCACGACTTTAACAAAATGCCTATACATTTGAGGGTTCTTTTCTTGACTATTGAACAATTTGCTAGCCAAGACAAGAACCTCACTTATAAGCAAAATCTTGATGTGAAATTAAATTTCGTGGGATATCTGGTTCAAAATTTTTGTGCTGAAATTTTTATGATATCTTGGACCTAGCTCAATTCTGAAACCATTTTCGGATTCAGCATAGATTTTAGTCTTAAATTACAAATTTCAGCTGCCCTCGGCCTTAAGAACCCGAAATACCAGCGTAAATTGCACAAAGTAAAAAAATTTCGGGAATTTTGATGGAAACTCACCTTTCTGGTAAAATCCCATGCTGAATCCAAAAATGGACTCAGAATGGACCTGGGACCAATATTTCATCAAAATTCCCGAGAATTTTTTATTTTAAGCAATTTGTAGTATTATATCGGGGTCTTGAGACCTAGAGCTGCAAAAATTTTACATTCAAGATTAGTACTTAAGCTGAATCTGAAAATGCACTCATAGTGGACCTGAGACTAATATTTCATCAAAATTTCCGAACAGAATTTCCGACCGATTTTACCACAAAATTTATTGTTATCTCAAAATTTCCTCTATATTTGGAGGTTCTTGTCTTGACTATTGAAACATTTGCTAGCCTAGACAAGAACCTCACATATTTGCAAAATCTTGATGCGAAATGAAATTTCGTGGGATATTTGGTTCAAAATTTTTGTTCTGAAATTTTTATGAAATATTGGACCTAGCTCAATTCTGAAACCATTTTCGGATTCAGCATAGATTTGAGTCTTAAATGACGAATTTCTGCCTCACTCGGCCTCAAGAACCCGAAATACCAGCGTAAATTGTACAAAGTAAAAAAATTTCGGGAATTTTGATGAAGCAATGGACCTATGTCCATTCTGAGTCCATTTTCGGATTCAGCGTGCGAATTCACTAGAAAGGTGACTTTCCAGCCAGATTCGGCCAGTAGTTTTCGAGATTAAAGCAAACAAAAAATTAAATTTGAAATTTTGTTGTAGTATGGGTCCTAGGTCCAACATTCATCAAAATTTCTGATTTTTTTTTTTTTTGCTTCAAACTCGGAAACTACTAGCCGAATCTGGCTGGAAACTCACCTTACTGGTAAAATCCCATGCTGAATCCAAAAATGGACTCAGAATGGACCTGGGACCAATATTTCATCAAAATTCCCGAGAATTTTTTATTTTAAGCAATTTGTAGTATTATATCGGGGTCTTGAGACCTAGAGCTGCAAAAATTTTACATTCAAGATTAGTACTTAAGCTGAATCTGAAAATGCACTCATAGTGGACCCGAGACTAATATTTCATCAAAATTTCCGAACAGAATTTCCGACCGATTTTACCACAAAATTTATTGTTATCTCAAAATTTCCTCTATATTTGGGGGTTCTTGTCTTGACTATTGAAAAATTTGCTAGCCTAGACAAGAACCTCACATATTTGCAAAATCTTGATGCGAAATGAAATTTCGTGGGATATTTGGTTCAAAATTTTTGTTCTGAAATTTTTATGAAATATTGGACCTAGCTCAATTCTGAAACCATTTTCGGATTCAGCATAGATTTTAGTCTTAAATGACGAATTTCAGCTGCCCTCGGCCTTAAGAACCCGAAATACCAGCGTAAATTGTACAAAGTAAAAAAATTTCTGAAATTTT